GCCATGCGAATATCAGAATTGAATGTATCAAAGTAAATCCAAGGAAATGAGGCAGGTGCAAAAATTAATATCCAGTGATCCAGAGCAGGGAAAAGCATAGTCTGAGTAATAAAAGCAATGGTCAGTCTGGAGAGATTCAAACCAAGCAGAGAAGTACAAGCAGAAATGAGTCTGAGTACATGTGTAGGGTTCAAAGCAAATTTGAAGGAATGGACAAAGCAGATGAAAATCTACCATGAGAAGATACCAGATGAGAATCTGGATGGGAAGATAGTATATCAGGATGTGGTCAAATCAAGCATATCCTCACAGCAGTATTAGTGAAGTAGGAAAACAATTCTTAGGTCACGAATCATACAAAAACAGGTGGCATAAACTGGCTGTCAGGCAGTAGCTTGCTGATCCTTGATCTAGACTATTAGCCTGGAAGGAGGGAAAAGGTATGTATTTACTTTTTTGTTATAGGCCTGTGTAGGATACCTCTAACAAACAAGCTAGCGATGGATGCAACCAAGAAGGAACAACGTGCTAAAAGGTGTGAATGAGACCTCACCAACCACAGTGAAAATTGAGTATGAAATTCTGTTACCAAAAAAATGGTTCAATAACAAAGTCATTTACATTTGCAGAAGCCTTGAGAAGTTTGGAGAGAAACTGAATAATTAAATATGATTTTTTTCTTTTTATTCTTTCCACTAAGGGGCATCATTAGAGAGCCCAAACAGAAGAAAATGAGCTGTATTACTTACCTGGATGAACTTGCTATGCACATAAAAGCAAAGCCGAATATCTTATCTCTGTTCCTCAAGGATCATAGACTGGGAAAGGAAGTTTTCCTTGGTCCCTGTGCCTCTTACCAATGCCAGCTATCAGGGCCTGGGAAATGGGATAGAGCCAGAAATGCCATCCTGACTCAGTGGAACTGAACGTTCAAGCCTTTACAAACTGTAGTCATTGCTGATTCTTCTGAGTCTGCCTTAGCATCTCATTGACTAAAGGTCTGGGGGCCTATTTGCTGCTGTTCTGTTTGTTGGTAAATCCTCACTTCATTTCAGATTGACTGGAGTTGGAGAACTGGGAGATGATCAGTTGTGAATGACACAGCTCTTCTCAGCAATACAATGATCCAAGACCATCCCAAAGGATTTATGATGAAAAATGCTATACACCTCCAGAGAAAGAACTGATGAGGTCTGACTGCAAATGGAAGCATACTTGTTTTTACTTTCTTTCTTTTGGACTGTGTTTTTTATTTTTTGCAACATGACTAATATGGAAAATTTTTTTCCATGACTGTGCATATATAACCCAAATCAAATTGCTTGCCTTCTTAATGAGAGGGAAGGAGAAGAAGGGAGATAATTTGGAACTCAATTTTTAAAATAAATGTTAAAAATTGTTTTTACACAGAATTGAGAAAAAAATATTTTTTAAAAAGTAGAATTAAGGGGGCCAAATATTTTACCAACTTAAAATTATACCATAAATTAGAAATCACCAATACTATTTGGAACTGCTTTTAAAATATTACATCTTATCAATGGAATAGGTGAGCAAGGTTTATCCATGTTGTACAACTATTAGAAGTCTGAGTTAGTATTTGAACTCAGATCTTCCTGGCCCCAATAGCTCTATTTTATCTACTATTGTCACCTATCTATCAATTAATCACAATCTACCTAGATGACTATGCATGTATTTTGCAAGAGTTTCATTTTATTTTTTCCAGGTTGGGGGAGAGGGGTAGGAGAGAGAAAAAACAAATGTTTAATAATTGAAAAAAAATAATTTTTAAAAACTCTCTTTCCGACTAATATTGATAAATTTAACCCTTCCCAGCAATACAAGGATCTAAGACATCTCCAGAGGCCTTGTGATGGAAAATGCAATCCACATCCAAAGAAAGAATTATGGAAGTTGAATTGCTATTTTTTTTCTCTTCTGTTGAGTTTTGTTTCCTCTTTCTGATGGTTCTTCCTATTGGTTTTAATTTTTACTTACAACATCACTAATGTGAAAATATGTTTAATAGGAATGTAAATGTATAGCCTATATCAGATTGTTCACCATCTTGAGGAGGGTGGTGGGGAGGAAGGGGGAGAAAAAATTTTAAACTCAAAAGCATATAGAAGTTATTATTGATAAATCAAAATAAATTAACAAAAAAAACTCTCTTTCCATCTTTAACTAGCATTACTCCCTTAAATTAACCCTCTACTCCAGTCAGGCTGGTTATGTCAAAACCCACTAATTAGATTCCTAACTGCTGGATCATTTTCCCTTAAGCAGATCTTACCACAGAATGTCATCATAAATCTTTTTAAATGTCCTAGTAACATTAAATTGAATTACTTCTTTCTTTCAATGGCACTTTTTCATAGCAAGTGAAAATCAGGATCCAGCCTCAGGGATCATCCAGTCTAGCTCCCTCATTTTGCAGATGAAGACAGCAAAGCCCAAAAAGATTAATTACCTCGATCAAGTCCACCCCAAAAGTTGGTGGTAGGATCATGTCTTGAAGATAGCATTCCTAATTCCTCATCCCATACCTTTTTTTCCACTCCACCTTGCTTTGAGCAGTAGACATTAAAGCAGCAGTGAGGAATTTGATGACAAATTCCAAAATGATCGGGAGTCATTTAAATGTTTGAGCATCATTTGTTTTCAGAGGTAAAAAAGTAGGGAAAAGTGGACTGATTCCCTGCATGTCAAGCCACAGAATCATAGAATCACAGAATTTGAGAGTTGGAAGGAACCTCAAAGCCCGTCTGCTCTAATCCATACTTGAACAAGATTCTTCTCTAAGAAAGTGGCGATCTAGCATTAGCAAAATGTGTAGCCGAAGAAAAATCATCACATCCTGATGAAGACCATTTCACTTTTAGATAGCTCAAGTTGTTCATGAAGTTTCTTCTTACTGCAAACCTAAACTTGCCTCCTTTCAATTTCTACCCATCATTTCTAAGTTGCTCTCTTGGGACAAACAAAATAATTCTAATCTTTTTTCCATATGCCATCCCTTCAATATTTAATGACAGCTATCTTTTCTCTCTGAATCTTCTCTTCTCCAGACTAAATATTTCCAACTCCTTCAACTGATCTACGTAAGAATTACCTTCCTCTGGAAGCTTCCAGGCTTATCAGCGTTTACCTCAAAAATGTGGCACCAAGGACTGAACACAAAATTTTGGAAATGGCCAGACACACCTGAGTATATAACTCCTTTTCTCTGGAAACTATGCCACCACCATCCATTAAGGGCCCATGATTTCATTAACTTTCTTGGCTACCTTCATGTTGTTGATTCATGAGCTATGGCAGTCTTCTGAAACCCCAAGATCTTTTTCAGATAATTTGGTATCTAGTCATGCCTTCCCCCATTTTGTATTGGTGAAGTTGAATTTTTGAACCCACATGCATAACTTTACATTTAGTATTTCATCTTACTCTGTTTGACCCAATGCCCTAGACTTTTAAAATATTTTTGAATTCTGACTCTGTCATCCATTGTTTTAGGTTTAACTATGCATCGTCTGCAAATCTGATAAGCATACTATATTTATCCAAGTTACTGATAGAAGTATTAAATAATATGAGGTGGTAGACAGCATAAGTTCCTAGATCACCCCACTAGCGATCTCTTTCTAAGTTGATATGAAATCAAATCTTTGGGTCCAACTATTCAACTAGTTCTTAATCAACACAACTATACTCTTATAAATTCTCCATATATCTGCCTCTCTACAAGCACACTGTCTTCTTACTAATATAATATGATTTTTGTGTGAAAATATACTCCAGCTTTAAAAGAGGAATGTTTTGAAGCTACTGTTCCTTTATGATATTTCAGTGGCATTTCAGTAAATGCCTCTGCTTTGACCTAATTTAATCCTCTGGCTGACTATTGAAAGTAAATATATTCTGGGAAGATGGCAGAATAGGTCAGAAATTTCCATGCTTTCCAGACTTCTTCCACAAACAGACAGAAAATCACCACAAAATGAATGTAGAGTGGCAAAAATAAAGGAGTAAAGCAGTTATCCTCTTAAGATAACCTGAAAAAAAAAAAGATAACTTGAGAGGACCTCAGAAAAGACAGGCCCTCCAGAGGCTGAGGTTTGGCATGAGTGAGGTGTAGACACGTACTAGCCCACTCCACTCAATCAACAAACAGTAGTCTCTGAGGGCAGCTCCACTGGGAATTAGGCTAGGTTTCACCTAGACTTTTTTTAATTTAATTTATTTTATTTTTTGGTTAGACAATTGGGGTTAAGTGACTTGCCCAGAGTCACACAGCTAGTAAGTGGTTATGTGTCTGAGCCCGTATTTGAACTCAGATCCTCCTGATTCCAGGGCCAATGCTCTATCTACTGCACCACCTAGCTGCCCCTTCCGTACCACCTAGCTGCCCCTTCACCTCAACTTTGACTTCACTCACAGCCTCAGGAAATTTCACAATGTGGAAATATTGATCCTGTTTTTGTTGTTCAAAATCATGATGTTACCTAAGGGTTTAAGGGGTTAAAGGGGAGGAATGTGGGGAGGAAGGAAGAGAGAAAAAGAGACAGAGACAAAGAGAGGCTCAGATAGAGACAGAGTCAGAGAGAGTTTATTTTACCACATCCAAAGGTCTCATTATAAAACAAAGTTTCTTAACTCGGGAAATAGTATTATCTGTCCCTCTCACAAATGAGGAGCATGATCAAAAGGTTGTGTGGAAATTCTTCTCGTAAACTAGTTCTACCTTCAAGAACTTTTCCTTCTGTTATATTTCCAATTACAACTAAGAAGTGCCTCAATTTTTAATATTTTGTTTTAACCAAGAATAAGTACTTGGCTTCTGGATTTTTTAAGAAAAGTGATAACACAAGTTCTGCAGCCAATAATCTACTTTGTGCTAACAAGGTAAGCTTATTAAGGCAGTTTTCCTTCCTGTAGACAGATGTTTATATCGTTTGATTATGTAGCAGTTTGCTTTCCTGATATCTGGTCTTCTGAGAATGCAAACAGCAATTGTGATAACAGTTCCTCAGTGTCAGCTTCTTCTGCACATCAAGGTTAAGGAAAGAAGCAGAAGAGAAGAGTAAGAAGAGAACACATGATAAGAAATCATTATGACAATATTCATCTGGAAAGAACATATGGGTGAAGTCACAGAATCAGTTTCTATGATTCTAAAGTCACTCTGGGGTCCTTTCTCTCTTTGTGGAGTTCTAATTTTGCTTCCATGCTGGGCTTATTTGGGCTCTGAGGATCTGCTCTTCTCTGTGACAACTCTTAAAGGTTATTTTCCCTACATCTGTGATAGGCTCTCTTCTCTGATGCCAGGGGCCACACTCCTTGAAGTTGTTGTCTTGATGCCTCTGTGTTTGTGGTTGCCTGGAGAAAGTGTGTCCCTGTTCCCTGCATTCCTACCCATGTGCCTCAATGTCATTGTATTCTATGCCCACTTTTCACCTGGAGGTGGAGGGTCTCAAGTTACTGGTGCTGATGAGCTCAGCTTTTTAAGGAACCTCCAGGAAAGCTACCTTCAACTAGCAAATGATAGTCTCTTCCAGTTCAAAGAAAGCTCCCTCACACTTGGTCAAGAGACGATTTAGGGTTCATACATCTTTGTATTCCACTAGCATATTATTGCCTCATTACTTCTGTTATCTGCTTCCCGCTTTCTTTTATTGTTTCTTCTATTAGGAGGATAAGGGATTTCACACTCACACTTCGATAAGAGCTCCCTTCTTTTCTTGGGCAAAGAAGTCTTACTTAACCCTGAAATAGGAGACTACGGCCAAACAAGTCACAATCATTGGAGCTGGCATGAGTGGCCTGACCTCCATCAAATGTTGTTTGGAAGAGGGACTGGAGCCCACCTGTTTTGAGAGAAGTGATGACATTGGGGGTCTGTGGAAATTTACTGTGAGTATATGATCTCCCTGCTGCTTTTCCTTGTAATTTCATAGGTTAATACATTGCTGATGATGTAGGGTTAAGTCCACCCTGAGCTCTTATAAATTAATGAGAAGATCCTTGTCTCTTCTTGTCTTGTAAAAACAAGTCTGACCCCTCAATCTACCACTTACTATTTCAGTGACCTTGGAGAAGCGGTTTGACCTTCCCAGAGCTCAGTTTCCTTAACTTAAAGTGAAGGGAATGGACTGTATAATCTCTAAAGTGTCTTCTAACATTCTTTGATTTGGGGATTCTATACAACAGCAAGATCAGTATGAATAAACAAGTAGATGGATGTGTAGCATGCAAAAAAAAATCTAAGATCTCATAAAGTAATAACAGAAACATAATATCCAAAAGGAGAGAGGTAATAGTTAATATTTAATAGTATCTATCTGCCAGTTAACCTCAATAGTTAATCTTCACTGGCCAAACCTGGAATATCGTCTCCAAACCTTTGCCCAATAGACAGCCTGGTCACCAGACTTTCCTTGGGTCAGTGCCTCATCAAACATGAGATGTGGCATTGAGTTGACTGGAATCTCCTTAGAGACAGAATAGCAGTAATAGTAATAATAATCATATATTAGTGCTAATGATAGCTAGCATTTATGTAGAGCTTTGAGCAACGAGGTGGCACATTAGATAGAGTACTGGGGCTGGAGTCAGGAAGACTCATCTCCCTGAGTTCTAATCTGATCTCAGATGCTTCCTAGCTGTGTGACTCTAGGCACTACTTAACCCTGTTTGCTTTAATTCTGCATCTGTAAAATGAGCTGAGAAGGAAGTAGCAAGCCACTCCAGTATCTTTGTCAACAAAACCCCCAATGGGGTCACAGTCAGACACAGCTGAACAACAACAATAATTATATATTAATAATAATAGCTAGCATATGTAATGCTTTAAGATTTGCAAAGTGCTTTACAAATATTATTTGATCCTCACAACTCTGAGAGGTAGCTACTACTATTATTCCCCATTTTACAAATGAAGAAACTGAGGCAGACAGTGATTAAATAACTTGTCCAGAGCCATATAACTGGCTTTGAACTCAGGGCTTCCTGACTCCATGTCCAATGTTCTATACTGTTTCACCTCATGTAATACACATCTAGATAGTGCTTCAAGGCTTATGAAGTACTTGGCTTATAACAACTCTATGATATAAGAAGAAACACACAAAGAGGGAGCGAACACCCCTTCCTGGGAACCCTTCCCAACTTTCTGGAGGCAATACTGAATTCTGTTCCCTCTCCTCTTCTCTCTAAAAGTTGAATCTTCCACTCCTTCAAGAAACCTCTGGACATGGAAAAACCCAAGTCTACAAATCTGTGGTGACCAATGTGACCAAGGAGATGAGTTGTTACAGTGACTTCCCCTTCCAGGAAGATTTTCCCAACTACATGAACCAAGCAAAGATGTTGGAATATCTTCGCTCCTATGCTAAGCACTTCGACCTTCTGAAGGTAAGAAACTTTAGATGCTTGAGAACTGAAGAAGTAGATACTGAGTGAGCTCCTGCCTGAATTTCTCTCCATATGACTAAGGGGCAAGATGGAGAAAAGGGAGGACTGTTCTCTCAGACATCCAGGGATTCTTGCTTAAACTGAATCACTCCTGACCTCCCCTTATTAATCCTTTCTTTTCACCCAGGAATCAAGAGTAGAGCAGATTTCAAATGAGGGCACTTCCCAACACATCCTCTCTTTCTTGATATTTAAAATTTTGTTTGGCTTAGTGGTATAAAGGACAGAACACTGAATTTGGAGTCAGAGAATGTGGTTTCAAATCCTGACCTTCTGTCCCTGTGATTTGCACAAGTCACTTGACCTTTCCAGACCTCAGTTTCCTTAACTATGAAATGAGGGGCTTGGATAAGACATCTTCTAACATTCCTTAAAGCTCAAAATTGGTGATCCTGTTTATAATTCTTTTCAATAGATATAAGGTATCTTTGATAGTAAGGAAGAAAAGATGTTTGTGCTAGGGAAATTGCAAAAGATCTCTCTCTCCTAGTCTAGATTTTTGAGTACCCTTTAGACTTCCAGACTTCCAAATGCTAGCATATGGAAGAATTAAAATCAGGGCTACTGAAATCAGGCAAATTGAATGACCTTGAACATTTATTTACCTCACCAGGGTGTGCTAATGAGTAGGGAGGGATCTCTTTGCATTTCTTTTCCTCTGGTATAATGTTTATGAGAGATGGTAGAACTGCAAAAATGCCAAAGACAGGGCAGCTAGATGGCTCAGTGGATAGAATATGGGCCCTGGAGTCAGGAGGTCCTGAGTTCAAATTCAGCTTCAGAGCCTTATTAGCTGTGTGACTCTGTGCAATTCCCTTAACCTTGATTGCCTCCAAAAAAGGAAAATAAATAAATAAAATACTGAAGACCTCTTTATAAGAACATACTTGTGAGAGTGTGCTAGTAAATGTTTAACAACTGACTCTCCATCCAAAAAATAGAAGCAGAATTGACTTTTAAGTTCAATAAGCATTATAGACATTTTCTCCGTTATTTTCTTAAGTCTAGATCAGGGGTGAGGAACCTGCAGCCTCAAGGCCACATGTGCTCCTCTAGGTCTTTAAATGCTGCCCTTTAACTGAATCCAAACTTCCCAGAACAAATCTCCTTAATAAAAGGATTTGTTCTGTAAAACTTAGAATCAGGCAAAATTCCACACCCAAGGACCTAGAGGGCTCCATGTGGCCTCGAGGCTACAGGTTCTCCACCTAAGGTCTAGATAATCATCAAAACAATGTCAAGCCCTAATTTGCAGCACTTACCCATTTCTAAGGTGTAAATGTTAACACTGAAAATTTAACCATCTGGAGAAGCTGCATGACCTGCCTCCAGCACTGCCCTGCAATTATTTTGTTTAAGGCATGAGATATTTCCACATGTCTCCCTCTCGCTATTGCTGTCCTGGTCCATCTTCCCTCTCTGAAACATTCAAGAGTTTCATGTCCACTGTGACTGGAGAACAGCAGCTGATCTCATGTTTGAGCTTTTTCCTGCATCGATCCTGTTGTGTAGGGCATCTGGCCCTGAGCCCCCGACAGGGAGAAGGTCTTTCTGTGCTTCCTTTCAGACGACTGTGTGCAGCGTGACAAAGAGTCCAGATTTCTCTGCCAGTGGGCAGTGGGAAGTGGTGACAGAGGCAGGGGGAAAGCAAGATACTGCTGTCTTTGATGTAGTCATGATCTGCACAGGGCACTACCTGAATCCTCACTTGCTTTTACACCCCTTTCCTGGTGAGTCAGTTAGACTGGGGTCTGAGCAGAGGCTATTCTGCCAAGCTTATCTAGGTAAAAGCATTTCATTCACCAATGAGAGCATTTTGTCCTTTGTCATAAGCAGCTCCAGAGACATCAAATGCCAGCTGTCAAGGCACATGTGCCCAAAAAGCTGCCTGACCCAGACTGAAATGTAAAATTGAGAGATATTTTATACAATAGAACATATATAATGTTAATATGTGGTTTTCTAATCAATATGCAGTGGCAGGGATTCTTAGGTATGGTTTACTGACCTGTTTCTTTTTGACATCACTGATCAAATCCATCACAAACTGGAGGCAAAATGTACCTGTAAGGGTTTGCAGAAGTTATCAGTTGTGATTAAAATGTAAGGTGCTTCTGGTGGTCATCATCATCATTGAGTTGTAGGAGTAATAACAACATCAATGATTCAGAAGCTCTGCATCCCTCCTGCTCCCAGTGCACTTGTCAATCATGGTGGACATCTTTAGCCAAATAGACCAGGTAGAAGAGGGCAGCTCCCTACAGGAATGAATCTCAATCATTCTGTATGTACCATAGTTGTGTGAGTAAAATTATGAATTACTGAATTGTAGGAAAATGTATTATTTCATTGTTTTAGTCTAGCCTTGCCTGGCAAGAGACCAGAATCGTATTGCTTAGAGATCAAACTAGTTCAATGCTTAACTTAGGACACCAGGTCATGCCAACCCCAGAAAACATCAAGGGATCCAAAGAGTGATGCTTAGAATTTCCAGTTTCCCGAGAAATATATTTTAATCAATCTAAGTGAAACTTAATCTATGTGCATTATTTGGAAACATTATATGCCAACCAATCAGATGTCTGTCTCCTTGCTTTAAATCTATACTACAAAAGGCAGTGTTGCCAAGTAGTTAGGTGTGGAGTCAGGAAGACCTGGGTTCAAATTCTGCTTCCAGTGCTTATTAGCTGTGTGACTATTAGCAAATCACCTACCTCTCTGAGTCTTCATTTCCTTATCCGTAAAATAGCAATTATAACAATACCTGTGGTACCTATGTCATGGAGTTGTTATGCAGCTCTAATTAGATAATGTATCTAAAGTGTTTTGCACATGTTTAAGAGTTTTATAAGTGAGAGCAAGGCAGTATTGGGTAGTGGATGGAGTGCTGAATGTGGAATGGGGAAGACTCCTCTTTGACTCCTGCGTCAGATGCACTGGCTAAATGATGAGGCAAGTCTCTTAAACTCTGGGAATCTCTGTTTCCTTATCTGCCTACCTCACAGAGTAGTCATGAAGACAAAAAGAGATAATGGATATAAAGTGCTTTGTAAACCTGAAAGCACTATGCAGTTGTGAATTATAATTATTACACCATGGTAACAGTAAGTTAGATTAACAACTTTCTTTTTGGAGTTATTAAAGAAAGATTCTCAAATTCTTTCTCTGAGAATTCCTCTTTGGCCCACAAAGCCCTACAAATGGTTAACAATACCTTTACAAGTATACAAAATTAGTTTACTAATTTCGAACATTTTCCCTTTCCTATATAGGCAATGTCTGGACTATTTTTCCTCTTTGCCTGGGAATAACAGGCAATAATGCCAGGCAACATCTGTACAACATCAGCAGAGTCTTTTAACATTTGTCAGGTTTTTGGTTTGTTTTTCTGTTTTGTTTTGTTCTGTTTTGTTTTTTTTTTAATTATCAGCTTAGTCAAGAGAAAAGGAGGCAGGTGGGGACAGGGAGCTGTCCTTGGAGTCAGGAAGACTGGTATTCAAGACTTGCCTCTAACACACAATAACTGTAAGAGTGACAGAAACACTTAATCTTTCAGGACCCAAGTGACTATTTAATATCATTAAATGGCAGCTTTGACAACTTGCACCAGTATAGAGAGTTTCCACAAAGGAAAGTTCTAGGTCAGAGGAGAGAGATCTGGACCAAGAGGGGGGAAAATGTAATCATATGTCCTTTGACTAATTCTATAAATTTAATCCAATTGCACACTATGGCTTGTATTTTTTTTTCCTCACTTAAGTAACCTGTTGTTTTGAATATATTGAATAAAGGAGTTGTTTAGTGATAGCACCGAACTGGTTCATCATGTCTAACAGAGAACTGTTTTGTTCCTCCATTTGCTTCCACTAATATAGTTCCTAAGCACTCCACCCTTAGTTAAACCCAACCTTCTGATTTTCTCACAGGAATCAACAAATTTCAAGGACAGATCCTGCACAGTCGGGAATACAGGCACCCAGAAACTTTTCAGGGCAAAAGGGTCCTCATGATTGGTCTTGGGAATACTGGTGGTGATATTGCGGTGGAACTCAGTCGTGTGGCATCTTGGGTACACTGACTTCTCTATAAGCCCTCTGACTCTCATTTTTCCCATAATTCTTTGCTTTGGGGTTTGAAACATATAAGGTAATCATAATTTAAGATGAATACACAGTGACATAAACCATGGAATTTTTCAAAGGCACTCCTAGCTCTTAGCTCTCTGAATCATGGCAAGTCTCCACTTGACGAATGGGCATGTCTCTGAGAATCATGTTAGACAAATGCTATTGATACCTGACCGCTAGGTAGTTTCCAGAGAAAGCTATTTGTTGCTACTCTCTCATTCCCAGACAGGTAAAGGATCAGAAATTTAGATTGCCCCATGGACCTAAAGGCAAATGTCAAAAGATCTGAGTTCAACTCTCAGCTTTGCTACTAATAAGATATTAGGATTTTAAAGTAAGAGTTCATCCATCTAACCCTATCATTTTGCAGGTAACAACACTGAATCTCAGAAAGGTTAAATAATTTGTCTGGCAAAGCCAGAATTCTATTCAGGTATTCTGGCTCTAATTAGTGTATATTTTTTTCCCATTTCACAACTTCATTTCAAAGCAACAAATGTGAAGAGGGAAATCAAAGTGAGAAGATTAGCCTAATTGTTTTTAAAATCATTTCTAGCTCTAAATATGATGATCCCAGCACTGAATCTATAATCATATGATACATATAGACATAAAGAAACTTATAAACCCACATAGATAAATTTCGATGTAGCTCTATTAAATATTTTCCCAAATCTTCATTTTATTAATAATAGCTTTCATTTATAAAGTGCTTTAAGATTTACAAAAAGAGATTAAGTGCCACACCTATGCTCACACTGCTAATAGGTAGCAGGACCTCAAATCAAATCCACGTCCCTCAACTCCAAGTTCAAACAACATTTCCACTACACAATACTATATTTCAGAACACTTGAGGATAAAAGGTAGAAATGCTAACACTGCCTAGCTTAAATGTTGCATTTACTTCTATGATACTAGACCAAAATATGTTTTTTTAATATAGGAGGATGAAGAGGGAGAAGTGGTATAGGATAAATTGTTTTCAGTTATTTCTTTTCTAGAAATCAGAAAAAAAAATGTATTGGACAGGAATCTGCTGGTACATGTTTAACAACCAGCTCTCCAGAGGCAAAAATGTATGCAGGCCACATTTTTAAGTTTAATCTGCATTGTTAACATTTTCTCCATCACTTTCTAAAGTATAAACAGTCAATAAAACAATAAACAAAGCCCTGACTTGTAGTATTTGCCTATTTCTGAGGTATAAATGTTAACAATGAAAATTTAACAATCAGTTCTCTCCAACTGGTACCAGTTGGCTCTAACATACCTCTGGATACAGACTGTGTTTTCATTGAGATAGGCAATTCTTAGATGTGTAAACTCTCCCTATCAATTCAGGGTCAGCTTCTTCTATGTTATTTCAAGTCTTTTAGAATGCTAAGAAGTTAGGTGACTTGTCCAGGGTCACACAGCCAATATACGTCATAGGCAGAACTTAAACCCATATCTTCTTGGCTGAAGCACCAGCTCTCTCTTCTCTATGCCTTGGCTGCCTCTTGTCAAATAAATATTATTTGTAAAATAACAGTGAGAGGGGCAGCTGGATGGCACAGGGGATACAGCACTGGCCCTGAAATAAAGAGGACCTGAATTTAAATCTGGCCTAAGACCCTTTAGCTATGTGATCTGTGTGCCTCCAAACAATAATAATGATGATGATGATGATGATGATGATGATGATGATGATGATGATAACAAGAGAGAAGTCTAGAAACTCATCTGTTCACCTGTGTACCAGTCTTTTGATCCTACTCCTTTAATTATTTCAAAATGTCCCTGAATTTGCATCATTCATAGATGCTGCCTAGAAGACACTTTAGAGATCATCTAGTCCAATTCACTATGAGGTCAGATGCGGATGAGGAAAGTGAGGCTTAAGGAGAATGAGTGATTTACCCAAGATTACACAGGCAATAAATAGCCATAGTAGGGTTTTGAACCCAAGTACTCTGACTTCAAAGCCAACACTCTCTGCACTGTATGGAATTACCTCTCACTTGAGGAAATTTCCGTGTGTTTCACCTCTAAGACATTAGAGCTCTCAAAGACAAAACTACTGTATGGATTGTATAGAGAGAAGTAATATAAAATGACTAACACTTTATCCACCATGCCTTACCTTTTAGGTGTTTCTCAGTACTAGAAGTGGTACCTGGGTCCTTAGCCGTCTTTCTAAAGATGGCTACCCCACTTTTATGATCTTCATAACAAGATTTCATCAGATGGTTTCATCCATGCTGCCTTCATCCATGAAAGACTATATGATTATGAAACAAATTTCAAAATGCTTTAACCGTAAGAATTATGGATTGGGTATTCCTAAGGGATAATCATTTTAAAACAGAAATATTTATTTGCAGAAATTGTTTAATAACATGACATTATAGGAAGTTAAGACATATATTAAAATGCCATCATGTTACTATAATTATGTTGATCAAAAATACTTGGAATTAAGGATTTTTAGGGATCAAAAATTTTAAAAGGCTAATTGGAGAGTTTGGAAGGATACTTGACAGGAGACTGACTGTTGGCTTCATATCAAGTTGGAGATTCAAGGAATTTAAATTTTCTTTGAAAAGTCCTAAGATAGATTGACTCTAGAAGTAAAATGTATATGGTACCAGCGAACTCAAAGAATCACATATCCCTTAATGATTAACAAGTATCAAATACCAAATAACAAAATCAAATATTATTAGAGAGGCAATCTGGTACAGAGTTAGCATCATACAAGGTACTGACTCTGGAGTAAAAGGATGAATGTTCAATTCCTGACTCCAATGTTTAACCTTAACCCCTGGGCCTTGGTTTCTTTATCTATAAAATGAGGGAATGAAGCTTCTAAATTAAGGGACTGGAGGGCATGGAATATAATATTCTGGAGGTCAAAGGAGATAGGATTAAAACCAAGAATCATCTACCCAGCAAAACTGAGTATAATCCTTCAGGGGAAAAAGTGGATATTAAATGAAACAGAGGACTTTTAAGCATTCTTGATAAAAAAAAAAAAAGACCAGAGCTGAAAAGAAAATCTGACTTTCAAATACAACACTCAAGAGAAGCACAAAAGGGTAAACAGGAAAGAGAAATCCTAAGAGACTTATTAAAGTTGAACTGTTTACCTTCAAAAAAATGAGAGAATTAGACCAGATGGCCTCTGAGGTCTCTTATAGATCTAGATCTATGATTCTATAAATAGAACTGAATAAAGGGGGTATGAACTTCTAGGAAGAATAACATGTATCATCTAGCTAAATAGCCAACTACTTGTAATGAGCTCTATATCGCCCAACTGAGAATGTCATCAAAGAAAATGGGAACATTTTAAAGAATGACTTTTATTACAACCTCAATCTACTTCTTCACTCCCACCCCCCTGGAAACCTCATCTCCAACATCATAGTGGAAATAAATAGGAAAACATGATTCAATATACAATTTTTCCAAGAATAGAATGATTTTAAAGTAAATCAGTCATGTGGGTGGATATCATTATTAATCAGTTGCTTTGAAATGTGTAGTACAAAGGATAAAAGTGCACTTTTCATTTTTCTTTAAATGATTTCATTCCACAGCCAGTCTTCCTCTAGACTTAGTCTATTTCCATTAAGACTCTACTTCTGCCTGGGCTTGGTTTTATCTTAAGGACCTAAACAGATATTCAGTTAGCTAATCCTTGGGAAGAGGTTATAAAGTCCCTTTCAGAAATGTACAATTATCCCTTCGACATCACAAGGGTTAGGGGTTCAGTGTCCCAGTGATCTGGAAAATCCATGTAAAATTTTTGGCCCTCTCTTCATACCAGAGAAGAACTCTGAATTTTTTCTGTCTTTGATGGGGTGTTTATAGTATCTCGTTGTAAAATTTTGGTTAAATATTATGTCATAGGTTCTGTGTTGTCTGTTGACTTTCACATGTCATCTGCAGCTTCCACAAAACTGCCAAAAAATTCCCATTTAATTTCTTATGTCAACTTGCAAACCTGTGATGAGGAAAGTAATGAGGTGGAAGAGATAACTATATTCCTCGAGAGGGATTTTGTTTCTAAATACATAATGAACAAATTTCTGGAGGCTTACTGTTGGAGGTAAGAAGAGAAAAGTTAGAAACATTCATCTTAAGCCTATGGAAAGTTTCTGGATGGACTATTTTGACTAAATAGATTAGTGTGTTCATACAAATAAGTAATTTAACATAAATTTCCATAAGTCAGTTAGGTGTTTTCATCTCATCTAGTGCTTAGCACAGTTGCCCAGGGCTTGGCACAGTGCCTGGCACATAGTAGGTGCTTAATAAATGTTTATTGATTGATCAATTGATCTACATACAAAATCAGTGAATGAGCTTTTCTTGTTTCTTCATTTCCATACCACAGGCAAACCCAAAGCTTGATTATAAATGATGAACTGCCAAGCTGTATCCTTTGTGGTACCATCACTGTTAAGACCAATGTGGAAGAATTTACATAAACTTCTGCCACCTTTGAAGATGGGACAATGGAAGAGGACATTGATGCAGTGATTTTTGCTACAGGATTCACATTCTCTTTTCCCTTCCTTGAAGAACCTACAAAAAGTCTGTGCGAAAAAAAGATCTACCTATACAAATGTGTTTCCTTCAAACCTGGAAAAGCCAACAATGGCTGTTATGGGCCATGTCAGCCTTAAAGGAGCCTTCTTGCCAGGTGCAGAACTCCAGAGAAGATGGGCCACAAGAGTCTTTAAGGGTAAAGATATTCTCTTAGGATCCAAAAACTTTTTAAAAATTATCTAATTCTGCCTGGTTGTCACTGCTTCCCTGACTATCTAAAATCAAACAAAATTTTTTGTCCAAAAATATATAGAATCTTTACAGGAATAGGGCTATGGGCAAGTGAAACATTTTTTTCCTTTTTTTAAAAAAAAAAACAGTCCTCAAAAAAGCTTTCAAGCAATATGACCTTTTTGTAGATAATTATCTTGGGCAAATTGTGTGTTGGTGTAATCTAGATAAAAAACTGAAAAGTTTTAAAGGATTTTTGGATCCTATGTGATACATGGTTCTGAGAAGTGAGGTATGTATGGTGTCTATGACTATAGAGATGAGAATTTACTTTGGTGCATATTCAAACTTTTCAAGTTGATTCAATATTTGGGAGGATTATGCAGTCTTTCCAAACACAGCAGTTCTGACTGCTTTTTAGAGAGAGGCAGAGTAGGGGGCAGCTAAGTGGCACAGTGGATAGCACACTGGCCCTGAAGTCACAAGGACCTGAGTTCAAGTCTGGCCTCAGACCAAGCATTTGATACTTACTAGCTGTGCTACCCTGGGCAAGTAACTTAACCCCAATTGCCTAAAGAAAAAGAGAAAGAAAGAAAGAAGCAGAGTCATACAGGGAGAAGAATGCTGGATATGGAGTCAAAGGAATTGATTCATATCTAAGCTCTCTTATTTAACGTAGAACCATAGATTTAGAGTTGAAAGGGAGCTTAAAGTAACAAAATCCATTTTTACATTTTACAGATGAAGAAACTGAGACCCAGAGAACTGAAATTACTTACCCAGGATCACACATCTACAAAGCGTCTGAGGTGGTATTTGAAACCAGGTCTTCCTGATTTCAAGTCCAGCCTGTATCTATGCATGCCACTGTTGTGTGAATTGGAGTAAATGACTTCATCTCATTCAGCTTTAGCTTTGTCAACTGCAAAATAAAAGAATTGGACTAGATGATCTTAAAGGTCCCTTCCGTCTCTAGATTGTATGGTTTTATATTATCTCCAATAGATTGGTGTGATGTCCTTACTCTTGGTCAAGATCAAGGTTCATAGTAGCAATGAGGGTCAGACTGGGATCAGTGGAATATGGAGACTAGACAAAGAAGACAGTGTAGGGTAAGTAAACAAGGAAGGTCTCAACAGCAGGTACTAGAAGGAAGTTTGGGCAGGTGGTTGGGGTTTCACAAAAGGGCAGGGTTTTTTTACATTTTCCTTTTTTTATTAATTTGTTTTGATTTATCAACAATCACTTCCATAAGCTTTTGGATTTTAAATTTTTCTCCCCCTCCCTCCCCACCTCCTTTCCCAAGATAGTGCGTAATCTGATATATGCTATACGTATACATTCCTATTAAACATATTTTCACATTAGTGATGCTCTAAGGAAGAATTAGAACCAATAGGCGGAAACGCAAGAAAGAGAAACAAAACAAAACAGAAGGAAAAAATAGCAAATAGTACATTTTGATCTGCATTCAAAAAAAGGGCAGTTTTAAATGGAAAGTTGGGCAAAATGATGTTAAGTGTTAGGGGATAGCTAATGGTTATTAACAAGAGGTTGTCTTGGTAGGGGAGGGCAGGCAAATAAGTTGCATCAAGATATTTCTGTTAGCAGATAACAGACAGACAGCCATAGGGACTGCAGTAACAGGCAAGGGTACCAGGCAAAGTTGACTAGATAGCCCATAATCCTGAAAGAGAATCTTCAGTACCAAACAGAGACGTGGTACTGGCACTGGATTAAAAGACAAAGGAGATTGATCATGATTGTTCTGTGAAATTAGGGTCACAATAAGTCACAATAAGACCAGTTTCTGGGATCATCTGATTTGCCTCTTAAAATAATTATATTTAGCATGAGAAAAGTAATTGGCTTTGGAATCATAGTTTGATTTCAAATACTGCCTCTGATGTCTATTTAACCTTGTGACAAGTGTTACAACCTGCCTGAGCACCAGTTTTCTCATCTGTAAAATGAGGAGGTTAGATTATATCCCTTTTAAAGTACTTTCTACCCTTAAATCCATGGCATTGTTCTATAATCAATTTTAACTGTTGTATAAACTTTAGGGATAACAGTTGAGTGGCCCAGGTCTTGCACTGATATCTAAGAAATATTAAAACCTGAAGGCTTTTAGTGCTCTGGCTAAATTTCTCCTGCTAAGAATTTACACAAAAACATGAGGAAGAGTCAGCCAGGATGGGTTGTGACGTCCACTGGTAAAAGGAGTGCCCACATGAATGAAATTGCTGACTCATTGAAGTATTCAAGTCTAGTAGCTTTAGCAGACATGTTCTGGACAATTGACTACAACTGAGGAAAACCTATGCATTTTATTTCTGTCATAGGGTTATGCAAGATACCTCCAACAAATCAAATGATGGCAGAGGCTACCAAGAAGGAGCAGCTTGTTAAAAGGTATGAAATATTCCTCACCACAGAGACAACCAAGTGAAGATTTTCTTCACAAAGTAAATTTTGCATATCAAAGTATTTCCATGGCCCATAGATAGAAAAGATGATCTTAATGTAAAAATAGTTTTTATGTATAGTTATTTATTTGTGTTTTATTTCATGTAAGCCTATACATTCTCTGAGGTCAAGGACCCTCTCTTAAATAAATTTCATAGCTTCCCAGCCTAGCAGAAGACTTTGCTTCTATTTGTCCCTTAGTGTTTGTTATATACTGTTAGACCTAGGTACAAGACATATTACCAGTAATCCTGTGCAAATTCCTAAACCCATTGCCACAAAAGTGAAAAACTTCCAAATAATTGAGCTATCCAAAAGTAGAATGGGCTTTCATGGGAGAAAGAGGAAGGAAAGACATGGGGACAAACATTTATTAAGCACTACTGTGTACCAGGCACTATACGAAGTGCTTTGGAATCTTGGCTCTTGGAAGAAAATGGCATTCCCCAGGATCTATGGTTTTTAACATTTTCATCAATGACTCGATCTAGGCATAGGTGACATACTTGTCCCACTTAATAGAGATAAAAGGAAATTCTTAACTTAAGGTTCAAAGAATTAGCTTCTAAACTATGAGATAAGCAAAGGCATGTTAAAATAGTAGTTCATCTTAGAAAAATATTTAGAAGTTTTAGAGTCCTTTAAGCTCATTATAGAGGCAACTAGGTGGCGCAGCAGATAGAGCACCAGGCCTGGACTTGGGAAGAGCTGAGTTCAAATCTGGCCTCAGACACTCACTAGTCATATGACCCCAGGCAAATAACTTAAGCCAGTTTGCCTCAGTTTCCTCATTTGTAAAATGAGCTGGAGAAATAGCAAGCCACTCTAGTATCTTAACATGGCCAATCATCCCAACACTATCAGCATTGTTTGGTGGTCTACTGATCTTACTTAGAGCTTATCTGAGATTTACATAACATAGGACCAAAGTGTCCCAAACAGCAAGGACAAGATGGCTTCCCTTGATTCAGTACATAGTACCAGGGTGTGATTTTTGGTAAATGTAGGATACAGTTTGCAAATTATTGTCCTTTGATCTTTGAGACAGTCTGTACCTGACTTCTAGGTTCCCCTTAACAATCTTATTTCCTAGTATTGCTAGTTTCTATTGGCTACTCATAAACTATACTGACTGGGGGTGGGTGGTCAAGAGGACCAGAACAAGATACAATTTTAACACTGAAAGTGATGGCTGTTTTTAAGTATTTGAAGGGCTGTGATACAGGAAAAGGATTAGATTGGCCCCAGAACACAGAACCAGGTACTGTGGGTAGGAGTCACAGAAAGGCAAATTTAAGCTTATTACAAGGAAAAAACTTCCTGCTATTTATAGCTATCCAAGAGTAGAATGGGCTTCCATAGGAGGAAAGTAAGGGAAAGGGAACATGTATTTTTAAAGCATCTATTATGTGTCAGGCACCATGCAAAGTGCTTTATACATAATTTTTTTTGCTCCTTCAAAAACCCTGTGAAGTAGGGACTGTTATTATCCCCATTTTACAGTTAAGGAAATTGAGGCAAACAAATATTAAGTGACTTGCCTAGAGTCACACAGCTAGTAAATATCTAAGGCCAAATTTGTGCTCAGGTCTTCCCGACTCCATGCCCACCTCTCTCTCCACAGCACTACCTAGCCACCTTGGTTCTCTTCTTTGGAGATCATCAAGAAAAGGCTGGATGTTGTTATGGTTGTTTGCCCTTTGTTCTCTAAGAGGACCAATGATATCACAAGAGTGACGATTTGCAAGTGAATTGGATGCAAGTGAGGCAGAGCTGCATCAAAATCCTGTGGCAAGACAAAGGTCAAGATGGCCCAGGATGTAGTGAGTGACCTTGGCCTTTCTAAATTCAGGTCTTTCCCAAGTCTCAGCTTGTCTGAGTCCATGCCCATTCAATGACTAAAGGCTAGATAGGAACTGAGACAAAAGGTGGACCAATTTGCCAGCACAAAGACATAAATTTGCTAGAGGAAGACCCTCAGAGTTTCTGGCCAGAACAGAAATCAGTTACTATTTACATTCATTCTAAGCCATCAAAACCTAAACAATGAGCCACAGAGATTTGGTTTGGGTCTATCATTGGCCATTCAATGAAAGTCAGAGTGATTTGGGTTTAAGGGCATATTCTAGTAGCTCCATTTAAAACACATGGGCTTTTTGAAAGCCTGTTTTTTCAGAGCTGTATTTCAAGAAATCAAAAATGAAAACTGTGCAGCACAGAAAGTAAGTTGTCCCAGCTTTTCAGGAAAAAAAAAAAAAGAAGAAGAGGGGAAGCAGAAGAAGAAGGAGGAGGAGGTAATAGCAGCATTCCCCAACTTCTGTTCAAATTGGCATTTTGGGTCCCCAGAGGGTAGCTACTACTGTTCTCAGATAACACAGCAAAGGCTGTTAATACAAACCTTCTCCTAAGAACCTGGTTCACTCCTTCCCACAAATGCACACAATATCCATGGGGAAGTAAGTTTAAACTTAGATCATAGTAGTAATGAGGCACAAATGTAAGAAATATGTGTGATGAGGTTTAACTCATATCACATGCTCTGAAAGCCTGTGTGTGTGTGTGTGTGTTGTGTGTGTGTGTGTGTGTGTGTGTGTGTGTGTGTGTGTAGACTTCATGAAGAACCTTTCTTGTTGTTGCTGTTGCTGTTTCTTCATTCTCCAAGAGCACCAATGACTACTTGTAAGGCAGAATGTAAATTCCTTGAAGGCAGAGACTATTCTTTATTTTGTCTTTGTTCAAATTGCATCCCAGACATCCTGGCTCTGTGACCCTCAACAAATTATTGAATTTCTCAGTAATCTAGGCAACTCTCCAGCAGATATAGAGAAGGTGTGTACCCACATTGATAGAGGGAGTTTCCTTATCTAGACATTTTCTATGTCTGTGAAATCACTGGACTTTCCCCTGTTCAGTGTCTCTATTTGCACTACGTGTCTTAAAAATACTTGTTCGATAGATTGTTATGTTGTAGCAAGGATTCTTTTTGAATGCATGGGTTGAATTAAATGGCTGCTGAGTTCCATTGTAACACCTAAATCCTGTATTTTATAAGGAAACTGATTTTAAAATTAAATCCATTCCATTTTTTAAATTCTTTGGTTACTTCTAGTTTTTATAGAAAAAACTAACAAGATCTGAACTAACATTTTTGTTTCCTATCAACACAAATTCGTGATTTATTTTAAATGAAAAGAAAAGCAGTATTTGGAATCCAAAAACACCCACCAAACCCACACTTTAGATTTTCTAGGAAGTCTCTGAGTGTACATAGGTTTATGTCTACAGGAAGGATCCGTTTCTAGTTCATGTTTACAGTGATCAGACTTTCCCCTCATACCGAATTCAAATTCCTAAACCAACTGCTCCACTAATTTTACGTCTTTGCCATTTTCTCTCCTATACTCTACTTGTCCCCATTTCTAAAAATAAATATTTCTTCTTGCCCTCTCCAACAAAACAAACCAACTTATCTATTCTCGCCCAAGAAAAACATTCCTTTCACGTTTTGGTTCTTGAAATTTTGTGAAAAGGGAGTTGAGAAGTTTGGGGAGGAACTGAGCAATGACAAAAGATTTACCATTTTCCTTCTTTTCACTAAGGGGCATCATTATGAATCCCATCAAAGAAACACTGGAATATATCACCTTCATGGATGAACTTGCTATATGCATAGGAGCAAAGCCCAGCATTTATCACTGTTTCTTAAGGATCCCAGGCTGGGAAAGGAAGTTTTCTTTGGTCCCTGTACCTCTTACCAGTACCGACTGATGGGACCTGGGAAATGGGATGGAGCCAGAAATGCCATCTTGACTCAATGGGACCGAACCTTCAAACCCTTACAAACTCGAATTGTTGCTGATGTTTCTGAGCCTGGTGCTGTACCTCACTGGCTAAAAATCTGGAGTGGGGCATCTGTGCTATTTTTTGCTGTTCTGCTTGCTTATAAATCTTCATTTCATATAAGACTGGCTAGAGTTAATGAACTGAGGAATAGATTTTCCACCTACCTAGTCAGTCACTGGAAAGCATGACTACCTCCTTGCAACAAGAACTCCCTCCTACCTCCTTTCCCTTCCACATTCCATAACCTTCATCACAGGGCAGGAATCATATAGAATGGTCCTAGAACAAAGACTGCTAAGATTAGATGGCACAATTTGGTCTACTTTTGCTGATGCATTTATTCCTCTCTGTCTTTGCTGACTGTGCTCTGCTTCCTTGCTTAAACAACTTGTTAATGCCTGTAATCATTTACCCTTGGGCTTTACCCCCTTCTCTGGCTTTGACAACCTCCTCCACTTGAACCACGACTCTCAATACTTACCTCTTCCAATTCTCTTATCCCATTATACCTATAACTCAGAATGGGACCAAATTGAATAGTGAATGTCATTGTCCCCTTTGGCCTCTTCTCTGACAGTTTGCATAGTACTATTTCTCCACCTTCAATTTACTTTCTATAGAATCTATACCTTCTTGCCAGGACTGATTACCCAACAATCCCTTATGCTATCACAGTAGCCTACACAAATACTTGTGTAAGTATTGTACTTACCCAATTTTATCTTTCCCTTTCTACCCCACCACCAGACTCAGCAAACTTTCTTGTTGCTATTGAGATAATCTTTTAAGACACTCAAGCTAAATAACTCTGAGGTACCGCATCACACCTGTCAGATTGGCCAACATGACAAAACAGGAAAACAATAAATGTTGGAGAAGATGTGGGAAAATTGGAACACTAATGCATTGTTGGTGGAGTCATGAAATGATCTAACCATTTTGGAGAGCAATTTGGAACTATGCCCAAAGGGCTATAAAAATGTGCATACACTATATCCCAAAGAGATCATAAAAATGGGGAAAGGACCCACATGTACAAAAATATTTATAGCAGCTCTTTCTGTGGAGGCAAAGAATTGGAAATTGAGAGGATGCCCATCAATTGGGGAATGGCTGAACAAGTTGTGGTACATGAATTTAATGGAATACTATTGTGCTATAACAAATGATGAACAGGCTGACTTCAGAAAAACCTGGAAAGACTTGTATGGTCTGATGCTGAATGAAGTTAGCAGGACCAGGAGAACATATTACACAATAATAGCCATGTTGTGCGATGACTAATATTGATAGACTCAACCCTTCTCAGAAATACAAGGATCTAAGACATCTCCAAAGGCCTCATGATGGAAAATGCTATCCATGAAGAAGAAAGAACTATAGAGTTTGAATGCAGATCAAAGCATACTATTTGCTGTTTTTTTTCCTTCTGTTGTGTTTTGTTTCCTCTTTCTGGTGGTTCCTCCTATTGGCTCTAATTCTTACTTACAACATCACTAATGTCAAAATATGTTTAATAGGAATGTATATGTACAGCCTACATCAGATTGCACGCCATCTTGGGGAGAGAGGTGGGGAAGGAGACGGAGAAAAACTTGAAGCTCAGAAGCTTATGGAAGTGATTGTTGATAATTCAAAATAAATTAATTTTAAAAATTTTTTTAAATATTTTTAAAATGACACCCAAGCTATAATACCCTCCTAACTGGTCTTCCTACCTTCAGTTTCTTCCACCTCCATTCTGTCTTCCATAAAACTGCTCCCCTGCTCAATCTAATCTACTGATCCCAGGATTTAAGGCCCTACAAAATCTCATTCCACCCTAATTTTCCAGCCTTATTTCATGTCAAATGACATATTATATCCAAAGTGATGGGGATAGGATCTGAATGTGGAACATATGGATGGGATGTAGGAATGGAAAGTAGCCTTGAGTGGTCCTGAGGTAACAGAGAAAGGGGCCTGGATGGGATTAAGAAGTGTCAAGTAAACTAATTAAGCAATCAAGGTAGGCTGGAGTGGGCCAGATGTCTTGGACAAGGCACCAGTGATCTGGGCTACTGAAATGTATGGAAAAGTTCAAGGACTCCTCAGTCTTTTCCTTTTAGGAGTTTAAATCCCATCTCCATCACAAAGCACTTTGCAAACCTCAAATTACTATATGTTACTATCCATTAGATCAGAGGATCTTAACCTGGGGCTCCAAAACTTGTTTTTCAACATAATTGCTTAACTTGTAATCCTATGTATTTTATTTTATTCATGTAAAAACATGATTCTGGGAGTCTATAGGATTCATCAGACTGCCAAAGGAGTGCATTGCATGCAGTGGGCACACGAACACACACGCACACATACACACATCCCCCAAGAATCCCCGCTTTAGGTACTCTATATTTCATTAAAATTGGACTACTATTTCCCAGACTTGGTACTCTATCTCACCCTTCCATGAATTGCATAAACCATCTGCCATACTTGAAAATAAATTCTTCCTCATCTTGGTCTCACTGAATCTTTATCATCCTTCAAAGCTCTGTTCAGGGATGCTTCATGACTGTAATCATTTTTTAGAATTATATGTGATATGAGTATGGGCATTTCCTCAAGCACTATATTCTTGCCCCAGTACTTAGCACAATGCCTGACACATCATAGGTGCTAAATAAATACTAATTATTTGTCATACTCTGGAAGTCTACTCAAGCAACAAGATTACAACTCTTAATTAGCTCAACTCTAGTCCACTGGGAAATCCTTTTATTTAGATTTAACCATTGAAAATCACTTAAATCTAATTTCATAATACAGCAAACACATTTTAATTGAATTAGAAAAGTCAGCTAGTTGACAAACATTTATTAAATACTTACTAAGTTGTAGACTCCAAGATAGTATCAGTATAAGGAAGAAATTGCTCAGTCACTCACTGAAGTCACTCAAGATGCTGGAGGCAGCTCTTGGGGTGTACCAAGCATTAGAAGGATAAAGATTCACCCAGCTATTCCAGTGCCTGGAATTTATGGGAGAAAAATTATTGCCTACCCTGCCCTGCCCCTGGGGATAGTACCAAAACTAACCTACATGTTCAAAAACACATTAGCCCTTTATTTTTTCTCCCTTTTAAATTTTTCTAGTCATTTAGTTCATCAGCTTAACTGATCAATCTGGTCTCCATTTCCACCAGGGTACCAAGTATCTGAAAGGAAAAATGAAAGTGGGCTAGAAGTGTCTGGATATTGATAGTCATTGGATAGGCATTGATAGGCATTGGAAATGCCATTCAGAGAAACGTAGGGCCATATCTACTTAGATAAGCTGGGCCCATATGTACTTAGATACACACTACTCACTGCCTTCTCAAATTATCCTGTATTTATATACCTGTACGTGTACATTGTGTGCCCTAATAGTTTTCAAAGAGGACCAATGACACCATAGGATGAAGTCTTGAGTGTGAATTGGGTTTAAGTGAGGCAGATTTGCACAAACTCATCAGCCTCCCTCTTTCTTCCAGAGTGATGGAAGTCCAGTGGCAAGACAAAAATCAAAGCAACTGGTGATGGCCTGGGATGCAGTGGATGACCTTATCTTGATGTGTGGCATAAGCAATTTATCTAAATCTAATATCTTCCATATTGTTATGGTAATAATTTAGGCACGGACTGGTGAACCAGAGTATCCCTCTTATCTCTAGCCACCTGTTAAGGCTATCTTCTATTTTTATTATTTTAAGTGACTTTTAAATTAAAATTCCCTTTTCTTTTTGCCTTTTGCTAGGCAATGGGGTTAAGTAACTTGCCCAGTGTCACATAGTAAGTGTTAAGTGTCTGAGGCCAGATTTGAACTCAGGTCCTCCTGACTCCAGGGCCAGTGTCCTATCCACTAAGCCACCTACCTGCCCCTAAAATTTATTTTTCAATCAATATAAATCTACCTTCCTCTATTATAAACATGTACAGTTAAGCAAAACATTGGCCATGGTTTTTAAAAAAATTTCAGGAAGTAACTAGTTGATTCTTTCTATTTCCACTTTGTTGGTTCTAAGAAATCTGGGCAGTTTTTTTAAAAAAAAATTATTGAAATATAATATCTAGGTGAGGTTTTTTGGTGATGGCTTTTAGGTAGTCTGCTGATTCTTAAATTATTTCTCCTTGACCTCTTTTCCAGGTTAGTTGTTTTTATTACAAAATAACTTATATTTTCTTCTTTTTTTCAGTCTTTCAGCTTTTAAAAATATTTCTCATTGTCTAATGGAGTCATTATCTTCTGTTTGCTCTATTATAATTTTCAGAGAATTTGTTGCTTGGGTAAGGTTTTGTACCTCTTGTGCCAAACTGCTAATTCTCTTTTCAATTCTTTCTTATGCTCTCTCATTTCCAATTTTTTCCTTTAGTGTTCTCACTTCATTTATAAAACAAAAAATTTAACTCCCTTGCCTCATATCTTCTAGAAATTCCAGTCAAGTTTGTGCCTATTTTTCTCGCTTTGCTTGTAGATGTTTTGGACTTATTCTCTTTCTCTAGGTGTATGTGTCTTGAGCATCACTGTTACCATAATAGCTTTTTTGGTGTGATTCTTCTTTTTGTTTGCTCATTCTTCCAACCTTCTTTCTGACTTTGGACTTAATGTTAGGGCTTGACTCTTCAGACTTCTGGAGGAAATACCTGACTTTGTCCTACTGCTCCTTTTTCAAGGGTATTGAGTGTTGTGTTCTAGGATTTATGGGACAACTCAGGTTGGGCCTCTACAAGCTCTCTGTGCTCCCAAAATAGTCTAATTCAGGGAAAAGTCTTATTGTTGCCCTCCTAAGCTAAGCTCTACAAGTTATCAGCCTAGGTTTGAGTCTGAGCAGCACAAATGTAGGCTTTTTCTGGTGGGAGTGCCAGTATACTGCTACATATATGTGTATGTACATATATGTATGCATATGTATGTATGTGTATATATACATGTTATGTAAGTGGAGGATATAAATAAATATATCACACGAACATATAGATACTAATGTTTTATATATATATATATATATATGTTTAGAGCCTTCACATACACATATATGTGTGTAGATGTATGTGTATGTGTGTGTATATATATATATATATATATATATATATATATTTATACTTGCAGGTACATAAATACAAGATAACTTAAGAAGGCAGTGAGCATTGATGGAAACAGTGTGTATCTAAGTAGATATGTCCCTGGGTTTCTCTGAATGGTATTTCCAAGTGACTATCAATATCGAGACACTTCTAGTACACTTTTATTTTTCCTTTCTTCCCAGGATACTTGGTACCCTGCGTAGAAATGGAGATCAGATTGATCAGTTGAGCTGAGGATAAACTAAATGACCAGAAAAATTTTAAAGGGAGAAAAAATAAAGGACTAATGTGTTTTTGAACATGTAGGTTAGTTTTGGTACTATCCCCAGGGGCAGGGCAGGGTAGGCAATAATTTTTCTCCCATAAATTCCAGGCACTAGGCTAGCTGGGTGAATCTTTATCCTTCTAATGCTGGTTTATGTGGAATCAGTACACCCAAAGAGCTGCCTCCAGCAACCTGAGTGACTTCCATGAGTGACTGAGCAATTTCTTCCTTCTGCTGATATTGTCTCAGAGCCTGGAACATAGTAAATACTTAATAAATGTTTGTCAACTGACTAATTTTTGCAGAATGAAATGACCAGAACCAGGAGAACAACTTGTACAACAATAACAGCATTGTAAAGACAAACAACTTTGAAAGCTGTAAGAGCTATGATCAACACAATGGCTCTTGTCACACAATGACTGTGATTCCAGAAGACCAATGATGAAGCATTCTGTCCACCTCCTGAAAGAGAGGTGATGGCTTTAGAGTGCAAAATGAGATATATAGCTATAGATATGTTTCTTTAGCATGGACAGTGAGACAATGTTTTCCTTGACTGAATATTTGTTACAGAAAATTTGCTTTTCTTTTTCCAATGTATTGAAAGTGGGAGAAAAAGAAAATAGATTTCCTTTCATTCAAAAAATATATACAATATTTTTTAATGAATTTTACTTGTTCTGGAAGAAATAGCAGATGGCTCTTAATCGTTCTTAAAGACCTAATTAGGCTCTGCAAAATTCTCCCCCTAATTTCATGAAAAAATCAAAGGTGCCAAAATTTATTCAGGGCTAAATTTCTAATTTAACCCAACTCTTCTGAGTTAATCTCCATCCTCTAAAACATTATCAATGTAATAAATATACCAACATTCACTCAGGACCTTTTATTCAGTCCTTCATATATTGGGTGTCTTACACCTATCTACAAGATGGGTCAGCAGACAATTGCCTAGGACTAGAATGGGCCCTAACAAATATGGCACCTGACCACCTTCCATGAGGAGGTGAACATTAGATCCTAATCTTTATTCTTATAATACTCTTGGACATTTTGACATAAGCAATGTCCCTTTGTAGATCTTGTCAAAAGGATAAGTATAGGGACCTATAACAATACAAGTACGTACCTTCTCTGTAACTTATAGGCTAAAAGAGTTACCTATAGAGCACTGAGGTTACATAACTTGCCCAGTATCACATAACCAATATGTGTCAAGAGTCAAGACCTGAACCCAGGTCTTCTTGGTTTTAAGACTAACTCTCTATCTACTATACCATACTACCCTGTTATAGGTAAGGATGAGGGAGAGAGATTAAAAATATTTTACTTGATTAAATTGGGATGTATATTTGGTGAATTCCCACGTAACAGTTGGTTTCACCAGGCAAAAAGGGGCCTCTTACAATAAGAAATAAATTTCCACCCTGAAGGCACAGCCAATAAATTTTCTTCCCTATACAATGTCTCAACATAGTATAAGAGGCTGCTCTAACAGTCCTGCTTCAAGTGTTTGGAAAAATCTTTGCTCTGTTTTTTCCTAAGGAGCAAGTACAATGTCCATGTTTCAAATAGTAATTAAAACATGTGCAAAGGTCAACCTTTTTACTCAGTTAGTAACTTCAGCAGGAATTGGAAAGATCCCTATGAGAATCAAGAGAACCGGCTTGGTGTCCTCTCTGTCACAAATTAGCCATATGATGTTAGTAGAGGTATCACCTTTCTAAGAGCTTAAGTTGTCTCTTCTGAAAAAATTAGGGGGACAGACTAGATGACCTCAAAAGCTCCTTGATGTTTAAATATCTTAGTTACTAAGATTTCGCTGTAGGCTATCCTTCAGACTTTTTTGGCCCTTAATATGGTAAAGTATCTTTCTGCTTTTTAGAGATGGAACAATAAGATTTGTTTAACCCAGTGATTTCAGGTCTCTGCTTTATCAGAAAATTTTAAAAGAAATTTCAAAATCATCAGAAATTTTAAAAAATTTTAATCATCAGAAAAGAAATTTTAATTCCTCAAAATCTAATCATTGAATCTGCTTCACTTTAATTTTTCTGATAAATATGCCTACTGTACTTTTGAATGTTGGGGGCTAGTAGGAAATAAAACTGCCAGTGGGGCATCACAACTTCAAACAACTCTCTGAATTCCTTAGTTTAGATGGGTATTGACCTCTGATTCTAATATTCCAATAAGGGCAAACTTTATGGTAAGGATTTTTCCTTGCATTAATTTTGTGTATATGGTATATATGTTTAGATGTGTTATCTCCCCCAGCTGAATATATGCCCCTTGGGATCAGGAACAGCTTGATTTTGGTCTTTGTCTTTCTAGGTCCTAGCACTAGGTGCCTAGCTAGTCACATAGGTAATTAAGAAATGGTAGCTGAACGATTTATTCTGTTTCATTATTCTGTCAAAGGGTTCTCAATAGGGAGTCCAAGTACCTGTCTTAAAACACTTGCCCCATCACTTAATGTTGTTGTGAGTTGTCTCACTTGGACAAGTCAGTTTCAGTTTCTCATCTATAAAAAAAGAAGGTGGTGAAATCAGATGTTCTCCCCTGCTCTGATTTTATTCATCTCTGACCTGAGCTTGAGAGTAAAGTGTTGTCTATTTCACCAGGCATTCTTTTTAAGAGAATCCTGCTCTCTCTAGTGGCCACAGTTAGAAGATCGCTGCTTACATGCAACTCCCCACAAACTCTAGCTTCTCGGAAACTGTGAAGATAAAGAGGGTTGGGAAAAGAGAAAGGGGGAGGGGTTTCCCCCCATTATCCAATCACATTACTGACTTTCAAATCGTCACTTACCCTCCAAGTGGTTTAGGAAGTTTTAAAGCTGGTTCTCTGAACAGCTGAAGAAGAGCACCCTACCTTTTTTTTTGGGGGGGGAGTAGTTCTGCCCCTGCTGTATGCTGATTTTCTGATTTTAAACCAGGATGATCAGAAAGCACTTTGCCAAGAGTCTTCATTCTATTTCTTTTTTTCTATCATTACCAATATATACCTGGAATTTGAGGTTTGGATTTTAATTTGACTTTTAGCCTTTGAATTTAAGAAATCAGAAATAATAACACAATCAGAATACAGAACACCGAATACTGTATGCCAAGAAGGTAAGTGCTTGGGCAAGTTTTCTTAAAGGTGGGTTTTTAAAAACTGCATTATTTCGTTAGGTTCTTTGTGTGTTTTCTCTGTGTGTGCAAATAGTCGTCTTTTGTCAATTCTACTTAAAGTTAGGACAGAACAAACAAATGAATGGAGTAAAAATGGAGGCAAGGGAAGCTAAAATAGTAATATAATACTCTGCTGGAAAGGAGTGGCTGGTTGGAGATGGAAACCAGCGAAATAACATAGAAAGGGAGCGCTGTGGGAGGAGTTCCTGTCTCTGACATTCCTTATGTGAACTTGGCAAGTAGTCTAAACTACTTGAGTCTCAGTGTATTTCTTTGGAAAATAATTGGGAGGTGGTGAGGCCTCAGAGGTCCCTTTCTGCTTTGAATGAATGAAAAGAGGCAGTTAGGCAGAAGGACAGAAGGACAGACGGACAGACAGACACAGTGGCTAGACAGCTGACCTTAGAACCCAGGAGCCTTGGAGTCAAGCTTAACTCTGACACGTACTCTGTGTTCTCACGCAAATCACTTAACTTTTTGATGCTCTGGGCATATCCTGAAGACTGTAAGCTGGGGAGAAGGTGATGTCCTACTTAGATCTCTATATCAAAGAAATCACAGATATGTTCCCTCTCCCTTTCCCTATCTGTGTGTGTGTTTGTCTGTCTGTCTGTCTGTCCTGACTGTTACTTACCATGACCTTGAGTAATTCTCTGGACCTCAGTTTTGGTTTTTTGTTTTGTTTTGTTTTGTTTTCATTTGCAATGTGAGGAAGTCAAACTCGATGATTTCTAAGCCCGTTCCAGCTCTCTGAGCTGGAACTTATCCTTTAAAGGGCTAACCCTGTTTAAAAATGTGCTATGTAAAATGTATCTTGTGACCACCTCTCTATTTTTCAATTAGTTCAAGAAAAAAAGGCACAATTTTCCTGGTTGTGCTGTTCATATCACCCCTAAGGAAATCAGTAAAATGTGATGTTCACACCTTCCCCACTTCTGAATCCCAGTGCAAGGAAGGACTACAGGACAGGACAGAACTATTCTCAGAAGCTAGTTGGGCACTTACTCAATCATATGTTGGCTACTGCTATTCTTCTTTTAACACTGTTACTTGATATCAGTCATATGGGCAAGACATGGTGACCTGAAAGTCTGCCTGATGGCTTACTATTTAGTAAAAAATTATTTTGAGGATATTTATTCCTGGCCTAGAGGGGGATTTTTGAGGGCCTATCCCAGCCCCTTAGAACAGAATAGCATTTATGTGGGGCTGTCTGATAATGGCAATGAGTCAAATGAGTGCAAACTCTGGGCAGGGTAGAGCCTTAGACTTCTGAGGGATAGTATAACAAAATCAAATTTAGACTAGCAGAAGAGCAGGGAAACCCTTTCAAGCCCATTTCTGCCAGGTTTGCTCTAGGACTTAGCCAGGCCTAGAGATTCTGAGGACTCAGAAGAATGCTAAACTCTCCAAACAACCCACCCCAATGGGCATCATTGGACCCTAGTACATTATTGCTAGAGCTAATTCACAAATTCCTTCTGTACCTACTGCGTAAGAATTCTGATAACTCAGAGGGTCAGATACAAATCAAGGTATTTTAGGATTAGGAACAAGACTACAGAATCCCTAATAACTCAGGGGCTTTAGACCAAGGTGAAACATGACAGTGATAAAGTTCCATTATGGTATGTCATCTATCTATGAGGTCTAAATAAGAAAAGCTCATTGAGGGGAGGGGGCGGGAAATGGTACATTTACGAAGCCAAAGTAAGAAGTTATGATCATTATATGTGGGGTCAGGGGAGACAGACCTACTAGACTGAGAGTCAGGACATGTGAGTACTGGGCTTTGGGTCTGCCACAACTAACAATTTGCATTAATAATTCATTTTCATATAACTGCTTCGAGGTTAACAAGCTCTTTATATACTTATCAATCCTAACAAGTGGAAAGTACTGTCTGTAACAGTCTTACATCAAATTAAATGGACAAAATGAGGTAGAGCAGACAAATCTCTACATAGACAGTTCTGTGAGGTAGGAGCTATGCTATTCTCATTTCCAGATGAAGAAACTCTGAGTGCTTGAATGACATTCCCAGGGTCACAGAGGTAATGAGTCATGCAAAACATGCAAGGTGTACTTAAAACTTCTTGAAGCTCATTTGTTCTATGTCAAAGGCTTCTTTCTGGCCCTGGGGCCTTACAAAAATCTAATTCATCTTCTTCCCCCGATGCAGGAGACCATGGTCAAGCAAGTTGCAATAATTGGAGCTGGTGTGAGTGGCCTGACCTCCATCAAAGGTTGTTTGGAAGAGGGTCTGGAGCCCACCTGCTTCGAGAGAAGTGATGACATTGGGGGATTGTGGAAGTTTACTGTAAGTGTAGTAACTTTCCTTACTGTTTAAGAGGGAAGATCTTACATCTGAGCCCTCAGACATCACCGAAAGATTTTTCCTAAGATTGAAAGGGATGCAGGGCTGAGCTCATTGGGCCCCAGTGGAAGCCTCCACAGAAAATGACTAAGAATTCATATACAGATTTGCTTGAAGAAATCCTGACTTTTATCCTCCCTGTCACTTTTGCCGCTCATATTTCTTTAGCCTGTCTTATTTTATTTGTTAACTCATTTTATCAATGCTTTCTTAAAACAATACCATCATTACCACCCCTCCCTACTGATCCAAATCTGAAATTGAACCCTTTCTTTGCAATAAAGAAAAAGTTAAGTAAAAAGAAGCAATTCAATGTGAATTTGTCTGACAAAGTATGCAACCTTTTACCCATGTAATACTTCACTTTGATGTGGGGCTGAAGGCAGTATGCTTCTTTTATCTATTCTCCAGGTGGACGATGGATAATAGATATATAACCATTCAAAGTTCAGTTTACTTTGAATATTGTTTAAATTTACAGTATTATAATCATTGTGTCTATTGTTACTCAGGTTCTGTTTACTTCACTATGCATCAGTTCATTCAACTCCTATGTGCCTTTCTAAATTCCTCATTTAAAAAAAAAGCTTTTATTATACAATAATATTTCACTACCTTCGTATACTATAGTTTATTCAGCCATTCTCCAATCAAAGGCACCTACTTAGCTTCTAGTTCTTTGATGACACAGGAAGCACTGCTATGAATATTTTGAGATATGTGGGACCTTTGTTTCTGCCTTTGACCTCATTAGAGTATAAGCCCAGTATTGGTATCATTGGATCAAAAGGTTTGAATGCCTTTGGTTTTCCCTTTCCCATAGGAAACTACTGGACATGGGATGACCAAAGTCTACAAATCTGTAGTGACCAATATCACCAAGGAGATGTCATGTTATAGTGACTTCCCCTTCCCGGAAAATTTTCCCAACTACATGAAGCACACTCTGGTGATGGAGTATCTTCACTCCTATGCCAAACACTTTGACCTTCTCAAATACATTCATTTAAAGGTAAGACACCTTAGGAAATGAAAATAAAGGGGAGCAAATGGCATCATAGTCAGCTGGGAGGATAATGAAAACAGTATGAATGAGAAATCTGAATGTATATAATAATAATAATAATGGTAGCTAACATTTATATAGCACCTACTGTGTGGTAGAAGGTGGCACTAAGAAAGGCAGCATGGTATAGTGAATAGAGAGTTGGTCTCACAGCCAAGAAGACTTGGATTCAAGTCCTGCTCTTGACACATACTGGCTCTGGGCAAATCACTCAATCTCTCAGTACTGTTAGCCAAAGGTAGCAAATAGGAGCACACCACAAGTGGGCAGCAACATTCCTTTGTGCCTTCAGTAACCAAATTAAAATGTAATTGTAAATTGTAAAATGTAACAAAATAAATAAAAATACAATAAGACATAGATGATGTAAACTTATAGTTTTCTAAGTCAGTATGTGGCCTGTAGGGATTGGAGTTTGGCTGTTCTAGGCAACTCTTTGTAGCTACTAGATGCAGAGAAAATATTAACTTACATTGGTAGAGGGGATTTGCAAAGGATCTCTCCTAGGAGTTCCTAGTCTGGTCCCTGTGAATTCCATTCAAACCCTTACTTGGAATAAGTACTAGCATGTAGGTAGACTAACCAGAGTCACCATAATATGGAAAATTGAGCAAATTGTAAATGTCAGCTAAACCGTCCAATGCTCCATCTATGCTAATGGGCAGAGAAGAAACTGTATTTCATTTCTTTTTCCCCAATTTAATTATTTTTCCATTTTTATTGATACCTTTTGGAGTTCTTTTTTTTTCAGACATCGCAGTCATTTCCCCAGTGTATTCTACCTAATATAACCTTCTTTCATTCATTTCTTCAACTAGTATTTATTTGTAACAAAGAAAAACAGTTGAACAAATATGACTAAGCCTAATCTGATAATGTATCCAGTATAGTGTTCAAGGGAGAAAGCCAACTGGTTGAGGACCTCAATATAAAACTACAAGTCCTGCTTAGAGAAACATTTTCTCCTGAACACCCTGATGTGTGAAATACTCTATCTAGATCATTTCTATTGTTGTTGCCCTCCCAAGTCCAACTTGCCTGGATGGAACCTTCAGTGATATTCTGTTCACTGTGACTAAACAGCTGCAGATCTCATGTTTGGAGATTTTTCATACACACATACACACACACACACACTACATACATATATATGTATTTAGAGAGAGTACATGTGTGTGTATATATATAGTATGTGTATGTATATATAGATGTGTATATAATATGTGTGTATATGTGTGTATGTGTATGTATGTACATATGTGCATATATAATTTTCTCCAATTACATGTTAAAACATTTTTTAAAGTTGTAAAGGACCTTAAAAGTTACCTAGGTTTTTTTTTAATGTGTATTTTATTTTTCCCCAATTACATGTTAAAACAATTTTTTAACATTTGGGGTTTTGTTTGTTTTTGAAGTTTGGAGTGTTTGGAGACTTTTCTTGAATTGATCCCATTGTATAGTGTGTCTAGCCCTGATCCTGTGGACAGAGGTCTCTGTGCTTCCTTTCAGACCACTGTGTGCAGCGTAACAAAGCGCCAAGACTTTACTACCACTGGCCAGTGGGACGTGGTGACAGAGACAGAAGGGAAGAGAGACACAGCTGTCTTTGATGCAATAATGATCTGTACAGGACATTATCTGAATCCCCACTTGCCTTTGGAGTCTTTTCCTGGTGAGTTAGCTAGTCAACAAAGTTTAATATCTATCCAGTGCCTCTCCTTGTATGCCAATGTGCCATACTAGACACCCAGGATACAAAGACAAATATGAAACAATCCCTGCCCTCAAGGTATCTTATACTTTCCTAAAAGACCTTCAATTGAATAAAAATGTATAAAGCCTCAACTATGTGCAAAGCATTGTGCTAGGCACTAGGAATGTAAAGACAAAAAACCAAAACATTAAGTCAAGCTTATTTAATTTCAAGAGGCTACAATTACTAATAATTGAGAAGATCATGGAAGGTTTCCAATAGTAAGTAGCATCTAAGCTATACTTCAAATGGTGCTGGAGGTTTTATGAGGTAGAAATGAGGAGAGAGCATGACCTTGACATGGGGTACCATTTGAGGTGGGAGATAGAATGTAATATAAAGAAACTGGAATGGAGAATGTATGAACTGTCTTAAAATGGAATAAGTCTGGTAGATGTGAATCATTTTTTAGCAGATTTTAAATACCAGGCTAATAAGCTTGTATTTTATTCTAATTTTTTTATTTTTTTAATTGGAGTCACATGGTCAAATCTACGTTTTCAGAATTACAGTTTGACAGCCACATGGAAGATGAATTGACAAGGAGCCTGGAGGAGAACTGTTGTAAATAATAATACATAGTAAAGCCTGAGCTAAAGCAGAGGCTGTGTGGATACAGACAAGGGGATGAATGTGAGAGAAGCTGTGAAGGTAGAAGCAGCAAAGCTTAGCAACTGCCTGGATATGGGGAGTGAGGAAGAGTAAGGAGTGAAGAATGACTCCAGCATTGCCAAACTGGGTGGGTCAAAGGATGATGGTAACTTCTACATAAATAGGGAATTTGAAGAGAAGGATTAGGCTTTGTTTGGATTTTGGTGTTTTGGTTTGGGTTTGGGTTTTTTGGTGGGTTGTGGGAAAGATAATGAATTCTATTTTGGACATATTAACATATCGAACATTAACATGTTGGCTCTCATATAGTCACAGAGATTCCCAGGCTCATACATATTAGGTTCCTTCTGAAAGAATGTCAATAGAAAAAATCCATACAGGTAAGTATCCAAATAAAGGAATCATGTAAGAAAAATACTTTAAGCTAACCCAGTAGAATGTATGCAATTTTAAGAGATTTCACACTTGAATAAAAACAAATAAAAACAAAATCTCAGAATCTCAGAGTTGAAAGGAACCTCAGAGGTCATCTAATTCAATCCAAACCCAAATAAGAATCCTTTGTATGAAATCCTAACAAAAGGAGTCATCTGACCTTTACTTGAAAGTCTCCAAGTTGGGGAGAGAAGGAACCTACTACATCCTAAGCAGCCCATTTCAATTATTGATATTATAAGATAATTCACAATAGCATTCCTTTGAAAAGAGAACCCTCAAGGACATACGAATTAAAATTTTATTTATTTTTAACTGATTTTCAAGAACATCTATAAATAAAACCAATTACAAGCATAATTGATATCACATATAGGTACTATAGGATTGTACATAAAAGACTTCTTTAAACAAACATGGCAGGAGTTATGCATTCATATAAACATTAATCCTTTAAAGTGGTCACCTGGGGAAACTATACATTTATTCCAACAATATCACCATTGCTCAAAATTCATTTCCCTTCCAAGAATTTTTAAAGCACCTACCACGTACCAGGAATTATGTTCAATGCCAAGAAATAGTTGGGAAAAAAATGAAACCACCTGTTGCCCTCAAGGAGCTTATATTCTAAAGGATGGAATACCAAGTACACCAGAGGTTTACATAGCTAGATAGAGCTGGCTCATGCCCTGTGCACACTTGTGTCATACTTAGAAAAATAAATATAAAAAAATACAAAATAATTTGAGGTAAGGAATGCTAACAACTAGGGAATGAGGGAAGGTGACTCAACTGGTTTTTGAGCTCAGCCTTGAGGAGGGCTGAGGATTCCAAGAGACAGTGGTAAGTAGTCACAGTGTTCAAGGCATAGATTTAGAGAAATCATTTGGAGTCACTGAAATTACCTTCAGATCCTGAGGCATATACCCTGGTATTTCCCTAAGGGTGGCTATCTTCTTAGTTTCCTCTCTTCCAGAAGCTGGAGTATGATGAGGGATGTCAGACTTCAGAGACTGTATTTTCTCCATTAATCATTTAGTGAAATCAACAAGCCTATACCTGCACCTTAGTTCTTCTCTACTTTTTAGACTGCCTGCTCCCTACCCCAACACTTAGCCCTGCCTTAGTTAAACCCACCTTCTGATTTTCTCACAGGAATCAACAAATTTCAAGGACAGATCCTACACAGTCAGGAATACAGGAGTCCCGAAGGTTTTCAGGGTAAACGGGTCATTGTGATTGGTCTTGGGAATACTGGTGGTGATATTGCAGTGGAACTCAGTCGTGTGGCAGAAAAAGTAGGTAAAGCCCAGGCAGTACTTCTTATTGCTACAAGGGCTACTTTTCATGGCTTTAAATATATCTGGCTGTTTTTGTTGTTGAATCATTTCAGTCATATCTAACTCTTTGTGACCCCTTTGGGGGGTTTTCTTGGCAAAGATACTAGAGTGGTTTGCCATTTCCTTCTCCAGTTCATATTATAGATGAGAAACCGAGACAAACAGGGCTAAGTGACTTGCCCAGGGTCACACAGCTAGCAAGTGTCTGAAGCCATATTTGAACTCAGGTCTTCCTGACTCAAGGCCTGGCAATTTATCCACTGCACCATCCTGAGGCAGCTAGGTAGCGCAATGGATAGAGCACCAGCCCTGAAGTCAGGAGGACCTGAGTTCAAATGCGGCCTCAGACCAAACACTTGATACTTACCAGCTGTGTGACCCTGGACAAGTCATTTAACCCCAATTGCCTAAAAATAAAAAAATAACAAAATAACACTGCACCGTCTTGCTGCCCCATCTGGTCATTTGAATAGCTATTGTAAGCATTCTCAGACCTTACTAAGCAGTGAAAGCAATTATTACATTCAGACTATTAAGATCTCTATAACCCAAAGTTTTAAAAACCCATGTTAAAAAAATTGTTTTCACATGCAACTGGGAAATAAGAAATACAGGAAATGGGGTATTGACATATATCCTGCCCTACAGGGAAATAGAAGGGGTAGGGGAATAAGAGAAGGGTGGGGTGAGAGATAGAAGGGAGGACAGATTAGGGGAAAGAGTGTACAGAATGCATGCCATCTTGGGGTGGGGGAAGAGATGAGATGGGGAAAAAATTTGGAACTCAAAATCTTGGGGAAGTGAATGTTGAAAACTAAAAATAAACAAATTTTTTAAAAAGATTAATATCTTTGTGATCATCTAATCTATGGCATGTGGAGATGAATATCCAAATACCGATGCAACCAGGTCAGGTCTGTGTATCTTCTGGGACAGAGCCAACTTAGTCATGCCTATCAGTTATCCACTCATGTTGCCCAACGAAGATAAATAATAATTTCAAATGATAGGTCAGGGTTATATGATTACAAATCCTTTCCACTGATAATATGAATTATAAACAGCAATAGAATGTTTGTTGTTTTTGTTATTGCTCAGTCACGTCTGATTCTTTGTGACCCCACAGACTTGTCCATGGGGTTTTCTTGGTAAAGATACTGGAATGGTTTGCCATTTCTTTCTCCAGTGTGTTCCAATATTATAATTGAGAAACTGAGACAAAAAGGAGGGGTTAAGTGACTGGCCAGAGTCACACAGCTAGTAAGTGTCTGCGGCTGGATTTGAACTCAGGTTTCCCTTATTCCAAGCCCAGTGCTCTATCCACTGTACCACCTAGCTGTCCCAAGAGAATGTGTGTATGTATGTATGTATGTATGTATGTATGTATGTATATGTATATGTATATATATACAAATATATGTGAGTACATATATACAAATATATATGTATTCTATATTTTTAAAAGATATTACTAATATATATGTGTCAAGGGTTATAATCAGGAATGAGCCTTGATTTGACCATATTTATGTATTTCTCAACCCCTCAACCTGTTGCAAGTATTTGCAAAATGCAGTCTGAGGTTAAGAAAGTAGACTATCAGCATAGAACACACCAAAGATAAAGAACCGTAAAAAGAGTAAAATCATGACCTTTGCTTCACTAACATGGTCTTTTAATCATAAGCCAACCAGCTTCAGTAAGGAAACTGCTGAATTGGCTGGAAATTGAGCCCTAGTGAATTGCTCTGAAAGCAGCTATAGTCAAACCAAACTGTAGAACCTTCTAGCAAATAAAGACATTAAAACAAATTCATAGCTCTTGAATCTGCTGATCAAAACCTTACCTTTACAATTTAGATTATTTGCCTTGAAATATTGAAGGTACCTTCTCCACTGACACAGAGTACAACCCCTATACTTAAAAGACAGTCTGTGAATTGCTTTGGTGAAAATAATTCAGTACCTGGAAGCCAAACTGGGATAGACAATGAGTCACTCCACATTTAGATAGAATGGTCCTCAGAAGATAAACTGTGCTAGGCCCATATTCAGAGCCTTTCTCAAAGTCTGCATCCTGCTGGCATAAACGTCAAGAATTCAGGGCCATCTTCATGACATCATCAGATTTTGGAGTAGGAATTTAGTGGAGGAAGACCAGGGTTCAAATCCCCACCTCTGACACTCACTATCTTTGTGACTATGGATAAGTCTGGTGCTCTCTATTGTAGAGCCTTTCTCCAAAATTATCTTGTTTCTAGTATATGGAGGTGGAATGAGGAAGAGGTATGATGTGGGTAAATGTTGTCCACCTGATTAGAGTGTAAGCTTCTGGAGGACAGGAACTATATCACTTTTCTCTTTATATTCCAAGCCTTTAGCACAGTGCTTGATACACAGTAGGTGCTTAATAAATGGTTTTTAATTTCTGTTTGATTAAGTCACAACCTCTCTGAGCCTCCATTTTTTTCATCTGTAGAATTAGAAGGATGGTCCAGATGGCCTCTAAGGTCTCTCTCAGCATAAAATCTATGGTCCAATGATATAGAGTCTAATTCCTATAGCACGTATGTCACACAGTTGTTATGAAGTTCAGATGAGAATAAACGTAAAATTTAAATCCTTAAGTAAATGTCTATTATTGCTGTTGTTGTTATTACCAACATCATTTCATTTTTCTCAGTTTAGTTCAATGGAGTTCAGAAAGAAACAGTCCTGGAATAGATCGCTATAATATTATTCTTTTATGTTTTATTTTTGTTCTTATTCTTATTACTGTATTAAACTGTATTCAGTTTAATGTATTATGTCACAGTGATATATCAGATGAGAGAAAATTAAACTGTCAAAAAGCAAAACAAAGACTGAATTCTATGAAATAATGACCTAACTTGGGTCCTAAAGAAGAGATGTGAGAAGGTACCTTCTCTTCCTTCTTTGTAGAGGTGGGGAACAGTGGATGTGGAACACTGGCATATAATGTCAAATTTTTTAAATTTGTTGGTTAGTTTTTCTAACCTTGAGTTGGGGGTGGGGTAGTATGCTGGGAAATGTATGTGACATAAAAATAATAGATACCAATAAAAAAAAATTTAAGCAACATAAGTTCAGGTATCTTTTAAAGGATGCCTAAGCTGATCCATTTTTATGGAAATGTATTAGGTAGATCAAGATTATTTATAAAGTGATGATTGAAGTATCAACTCCATTGATATCAATTGTATGGTCCTTCATTGGATTCCCACAATATGAACAGAACTAAGGGAAGACCCTTGAAAATTGGAGTAATCCTGTAGGGAGATTTATGGGATGATGTGGACAAGAGAGAAGAAAAGACATAGCCTAATTTCATTCTGTAGCGTTGGGGGTGAGAGACTCCACATCAGCGAGATCAAAATTCATCCAAGTCATGATGGACATGGCCCTAGATGCCCATTTATTCATCTCTGCAGAGGTCCTTCAACCATGCTTTCTTTGAGATCAAGATAGGTATCTGCTGCAGCACCATTAAGAAAACTGGAAAGCACTGAAGGAAACGTATCACATCAGTGAGGAAAAGTACAAAATCACTAGATGATACATTTATCCATCCTGCCTTACCTTTTAGGTGTTTCTCAGCACTAGAAGTGGTGCCTGGGTCGATAGCCGTCTTTCTGATCATGGCTACCCCTCTCATATGATTCAAACAACAAGATTTCTTCATCTGGTTGCACGTTCCCTGCCTTCAGCCATCATGAACTGGATGGGGAAGAGGCGCACGAGTAAATGGTTTAACCATAAGAATTATGGATTGAGTATTCCAAAGGGGTACTTTATTTTTTATTTAATGAAAATCTAGTTTCTGAAAAGAAATCATCTAATTCCTTAATTTTTGCATGAGGAAGCCAAAATTTGTGCTCACATTCAATGTTTCCATTATGTATGTTTCTATTAAGTTCACTTCTGCCACTTTGACAGTAGTGCTCAAGGTTTAAGATAGGCCTAGCCTAGTTGAATTTTATTGGGAAGACTAACTTGGGAAACTGAAAGTTAACGAGAAAAGAGAGAGAAATTCGCGTATATAACACAAGACAGAAAATCAAGAAATTGAAATTTATTTGAAGGATTCCTAAGCTGATCAACACAAAATGTGCAGTGTATATAGACAAGATCAGTGAACAAAGGTAGTCATATCTGTTGTCATATACAGGGTGCCCCAAAAGTCTTGGTGCAGTATAACTTACCACTGTACCAAGACTTTTGGGACACCTGGTATTTAGGACTAGAAAGGATTTTAGAGGTCATCTGGGTCAACCCCATCATTTTAGATAAGGCAGCTGTGACCCAAAGAGATGAAATGACTTGGAAAAAGACACACAGATAGAAACTTGCTGAGCTAAGATTCAAGACAATGTTCTCTCCAAATCCAGTGGTCTTTCCATTACATGTATCATCTTGCCTCCAGTTTAGCTGAAAAACTGGAGGTATGAAATTATAATAAAAATAGTGTATAAGCATATTTTAATAGATGTAATTTTAGTTAATGTACACACTGACAATGGCAGAATGTTCTTGCAGTAATGATGGGGTTTCTTAAGTATCACTTTTATCACATACTTGAAAGAAAAAAAATTTTTTTTAGTGGAAACACGTGTCTGCATTCATAATTGGAAATGAGGGAAGAAGCATGGCTCAATATACAAATGTTTCTTTTAATTATACCCTTAGAATATATAAAACATACAATAATTGAGTTGAAAGTGGCTCAACTCCATATTAATGTTTTAGCTAATCACAATTATTATTGGGAGCCTGAAAAAGCATAGTATCAAGGGTGGGACTTATACTTTAACCTCATTCAACAGATACATATCAAGTATCTGACACTTTCCTGTCCATGACTTAATATTCTTTTAGCCACAACATATTACAACCTTTGAATGTCCTGGCTCTCTGTACCTAAACTAAATTATGTGGTTGAGCTAAAGTCTTCAAAATGTCAAGTCATCTATTCCATCTTTGAGATCTAAAAAAGTAGCTTCCATAGCCTTGTGCAGTCATTCATACCAAAAGAAGGTGTTAAGTGCTGTTAATTAATAAATCAGTAATCAACTTTTCTTTTCAAAATGATTGCGATTAGCAGCAGGAAAACAAAATATACTCAGGACAATGGCCCAAGTTTTGCCTATGTAGAGCTATCAAATGTTTTGGCTAAATTAATTGGTCAATTCATTGGAAACAATGTGTGGCTGTTATTCACTAAATTAACCAGCTTGTTAGTTGAATGTAACTGGACACCTATTTGTGTATACATATAGTAAAAGCACTTGTTTTTTTCTGTACGATACAGGCGGCAGCAAAGGAGAGTTGCAAATGATGAATTGCCCAGCTATATCCTATGTGGCGCTGTCACTGTGAAAATCAACGTGAAGGAATTTACAGAAACATCTGCCATCTTTGAAGATGGGACTGTGGAGAACATTGATGTTGTATTCTTTGCTACAGGATACACATACTCTTTTCCTTTCCTCGAAGAACCTATGGAAAAATTCTGTAAAAACAAGATCTTCATATACAAATATATCTTCCCTTCAAACCTGGAGAAGGCAACTCTGGCTCTCATTGGCCATGTTGGTTTGCAAGGCTCCATTATAGTAGGTACAGAACTCCAGGCCCGCTTGGCCGCAAGAGTATTCAAAGGTGAGTAGGTTCTCTTAATCACCAAAATCACTAACAAATTGCCTAATTCAATTGGAAAGTTAGTGTTTCCTTGTCATTTTATACCAAATGGACTTTTTTAATCAAAGGAACAAAGGGCTAATGGGAAGAGAAATTTTTCAAAAACAATTAAATAATATAAACATCATGTTGACAGGCATTTTTTCAACTTAAGGGGATGAATTGTTCTCTCAATCTTGAAGACACTTTTCCATTCAATTATGGAATAAACTGAGTAATTTTTCAGTTGTGTCTGACTCTTTGTGATCCCACTGAGGGTTTTCTTGGCAGAGATACTGGAGCGGTTTGCCATTTTCTTCTCCAGTTAAGGAAACTGAGGCAAACAGGGTTAAGTGACTTGCCCAGAGTCACATAGCTAGTAAGTGTCTGAGGCCTAAACTCAGGAAGTCTTTTTGACTCTAGGCTCTGCACTCTACCCACTGCACCACCTAACTGCTCACAGAATAAATAGGTAGAGATGAAACTGCTTAGATGGGTCCTCTGCTAAGCCATTTATATTATTCTTATGTATTCAATAATAATAGCCATATTTTTTCTCATTTGATTCTCACAACAACCCTGGGAGGTTGATGCTGTTATTATCCCCATTTTACAGATGAGGAAATTAAAGCTGAGAGAGACTGAGTCACATGTTTAGGTTCACACAAGTAGTAAGTGTGTGAGATGGGATTTGAATTCAGGTCTTCCCAACTCTAAGTGCACTACTCTTTCCCTCTTCACCACCTAGCTGCCTAAAAGTAAAGCAGTCATGCTAGTAGATAAGAGTTTGATCTGACTGGTTTCAGTTATTATACATAAGTGAAAATATTTTTTAAAGCATCGAAATATTCAGTAATTTAAACTTCCTATATTTCATCTCATTACAGTGCTTGGCACATAGTAAGCATTATATAAATGCCAGCTATTGTTATTTTTAATGAGATTTTATTTAATTCATTATTATAATATTTAGAACTCTTTTCTCCCCAATTTCTTAAGAGCATTCTTTCATGAAAATACTGGAGGAAATATGAAATACTATTCTTATAATGAAAAGGCCCTGGGGACTTGGATTCTTAGTTTCAGTCATGCCACTTACTAGCTATATGACCTTGGGAAAATCATTTCTGGGACTTTGTAGACTACAGCCATGGGATTATTGATTTTAGGAGGGGGCAGGGACATTCAAGACCATGTAAGTCCAATCCTCTCTTTTCTCAAGAGGAACCTGGGGCACAGAAATACCCAGTGCTTTGCCCAGGATCACACTTCTGGTAAGTGTTCAAGGCAGGACACGCACCTAACTCTTCCTGGTTCCAACTCCCTTTGCCATACTGTTGACTAGATGATCTCTCTACACTTCTGACTAGCCAACTCCAACATTCCATACAATCTAGGGACATTCAGAACTGCTGTATTTAAAAAAACATTTACTGCTCCCCAAATTTGTCACCCTGAAAAATGACATATGAAAATCTGGTCCCTCCCAGCCAGATATATACATGCCTCATTTACTCATACTTGCATAATGGCATATTCTCATCACATACCTCCTGACACAGCACTGCCAGAAACTAATGCAAGCTTTTCCAAGGATTTTTGTCTAAGGGTTCACTCACTCTTGGCCCTAGATTCCTTTAAAGAATAGGATGATTGCCTGCAGCAGTGAAATCTCAACTGAGATAATACAGGCAAGTGAGTGAAATCTCAATCTTCTTTCTAGCTTTCTTCAGCAATGCTCAGCAGCCTGGGACAAGGTGCAGAGAAGTGAAATCATGAGGGTTATTTGGAGGAATAGGTCAGGAATGACTCATGGTAGCTGATAAATCATTAAAGCAGTGAACAGCTGAGTTAAAGACCGAGTATGGAACACATGAAGACCGAGTGGCAGAGACGGAATTGAAGAGGGAGTAATGGAGGACTGGGAGAACAAAGAATGGGTTCAGCATGAGTGAGAGAGCAGGGAAGGCAGAGTAGGAGGTTGTGGTTTCAGAAGGAAACTTTGGAGTTAAAGTTAATTGTCATTGACTCCATACTAATTTTCTGGAACTAGTCTACCAAAGCAAAGGTGAAGGGTAGAAACACCAGTGTCTATTATTTTCCAAAAGTGGGGTCACTTTTTGCAGATCTTTTTATTATACATGTATTTATATGGAAAGATTTCATGTAGGCTCTGCAGTGAAGGGAAAAATGTAATGTGTGTCCTATAGCAATGATCCCAACAGCTATACATTAAGGAACCTTTTGCAAGGGCCTATGCATCTACCCATTCAAGGTGCAATTTAACTCTTTTTCTGCAATCCCTGCTACCAATGCTATTTTGTCCTATCAAAGGCCCTTAAGGGTTTGTACTTTCCTGCTTCCTGGTTTCCTTCTGTGTCCCTCTTGTGGCATACACTTTATATCAGCTGTGTGTACTCTGTGTATTCTCTGTAAATTTAAATAGAAATGAGGGTCACTAAACTGTACATTAGGATCCCTAGAGGTCACATCTTGACTTAGAAAACCAAATATTAACATTATTTTTGCCCTATTGTATTTTAATTTATTTTGTTAAATGTTCCTCAATTACAGTTTTAATGTAGTTCCGCCCCACTTCTATGTGTTACAGTAATCGGGGCCTCATTTTGGATATCTCTGCTTTACACGGCAGTGTTATAGAGTTGGGTTTGCTTATTTTCAAACAAAGTACTTACTACCATGTGCCATCAACACTACGAAAATCTTTTTTAAAGTGATTTCCTTATGCTTTCAAAAATAAGTACTCCATTTAACATAACATTAATATATGGCCAAAAAATCCATCTTTTTGGACTTCAAGAATTCAGATCATTTACTGGTGGGACAAAAGTTTATTTTATAATAGAAATAAAATGTATTTGAAATTCCCACCTCCTCCAGGGCTTGCCGTTAGCTCAGCCATACTGGAAAGAGCATTGGATTTGGCATCACTAAGACCTGGGTTTAAACATTAGCTCTGATACTGACTAGTTGTATAACTTTGGGCAGGTCATTTCATTTCTCCAATGTTGTTTTCTCATATGTAAAAGGAGGATAATAACATTATCTGCCTTCTTTTCCTTAGATTCATTGAATCTAGTGCTGGGAGGGATATGAAGACACCAAGCCTAGAGAAAGGAACTACCTCTCTCTTGCCAATAAAAATCCTCTCCAGTCTTTAAAGCCCAGCCAGCTTAAGTGTCACCTCCTCTAGAGAAACTTCCTTGATCTCCCCAGTTGGAAATGATCCCCTCCCCCACTTTACTTTTCATAGCATTTCAGTTTCATCTCTTTGAATTATATATTTTTGTATATTGTAGTTATTGGCACATGGGTCACAACTTCCACTACATTATTAGCTCTGTGAGAGAAGGAACTATGTAACATCTAATCTGCATATCAATCAACAGCCATCTGTTGTGGGGCTTCTTCTGTGCCAGGCATTGTAGTAGGCAGTACAATGGAAGTGGAGCCTATATTGTGTCAAGGGAAAGAACATGTACATATACAGCTAGATACAAAATAGATATAAAGTAATAAGGGCAGCTAGGTAGCACCATATTGTGTAGAGTACTGGGCCTGGAGTCAGGAATTCTCATCTTCCTGAGTTCAAACCTGGCCTTAGACACTTCCTAGCTGTGTGACACTGGGCAGATCATTTAACCCTGTTTGCCTCAATTTCCTAATCTGGAGAAGGAAATGGCAAACCGCTCTAGTATCTCTGCCAAGGAAACCTCAAATGGGATCACAAGGAGTTGAACACAACTGAGCAACAATTGGGAGGGGGAAGGCCTTGGCCACTAGAGGATTCACAAAAGGCAGAAGGCAATACTTAAGATGAGTTTTGAAAAAATCTAGAGAGTCTAAGAAGTGAAGTAATGAGGAAGTATATTTCTCCTATCACCTAACACAATGTTCATTTTACTAGTAGGTGATTAATAAATGCTGTTGAATGGAAGGAAAAGCCAAGCGTCCATTGTAGCTAATATCATATCCTTTCTTCTCCCCACAAAAGGACTGTGTAAAATCCCTCCATCAAACAAAATGATGGCTGAGGCTACCAAGAAGGAACAGCTCATAAGAAGGTATAATAATATTAATAATTGTATTTATATTTATATAGTATTTTAAGGTTTAGGAACTAATTTCCTCCCAGTATCCCCCTAACATAGATGGTACAAACGTGACTAATTCTATTTTACAGATGAGAAAAGTGAATCTTAAAATGAGCAACACATTACTTGCTCATGATTGCACAGGAATTGTCAAAGCCTGAATTTGAACCAATCTGAATTTCCAATATACTCCATAGTAGGCAACACTTAACAGAAGAGGCATTCCACAGATAAGAATTGAAAAAATGAAGGCATCAATAAGATGTTATATTACTGATAAAAATCTAATTACAATAAATTATAATGAAGAGATCTGATAAAAAGGTCATTTCCACATCCTGGTGAATGTCCCATAGAAACAATGTTGTTATTTTTTTAATCTGATCCCAAAGAATGAAATACAAGAAATATTAAACAATCACCCTTCAATTCCCTTCATTTCTTCCCACTTCATATGTGCCACAAACTGAAAAAAGATCCAATCAAAATTAAAGACTGAAAAAGATTGTCCAACAAGAGTAAGATTAAAGGATGAAGGTGTTGGTATTCAGATAAACACCCACCTCCTCCTACTGTATTCAAACCATTCCTTTCAGAGATAACTGGGATTAGTGCTGTTTCCTCTTGGATTCTACAGACTAGGAATATGATTTTGGGAATGATAGACTCATGTAGAATCTCAAAGATTGTTGGGACTTCAAAAGCCAGTTACCCAATGAGGACTTGAATAAGAATTCCCTCTGTGGAATACGCTACGTTATTATTCAACTTTTACTTGCAGATATTCAGTGAAAGAGAACCCACTACCTGCCAAAGCAGCCCATTCTATATTGGGAGAGCTCTAATACTTAGAAAGGTTTTTCCTAATCTCAAGCCTCAGTTTGTTTTTTTGAATCTTCCACCCATTTCTCTTAGTTCTGAACTCTGGGGTTAGGCAGAATAAGCTTAATTCCTCTTTCTTATGAATGTCCTTCATGTTGCCCCTAAGTCTTTTCTTTTCTAAGTGGACTATCTAATCTCAATTCCTTTTAGCATTCCTCACCTGACATGGCATGAAGACTTTTAATCAATGTTTGCTGCCATCTGAATATTTTCTAGCCTACCTTTTTAAAGTACGGTGCCCTAAACTAAGCACATTATTACAGATGTGGTGTGACCAAGGTTCAGCACAGTGGCATGATAACCTCACTAATCCTGTACAGTATGCCTTTCTTAAAGCAACCTAAAATTTCATTCTTTTTTTTTCCTTCCCTATCTCAGTTGACTCACGATAAAATTTTTTTGTTTGTTTATTTGGACCAGATTTGTGATGTCAGTGAGAACACTTCCTCTATTAATGTGGACTAAAACCTGCTCTACAACTTACAATCTTAGGGATTTGCTTAGGACAGTGAATCTCAAGCTTTTTGGTCTCAAGACCCCTTTATACTCTTACAAATTATTGAGAATCCCCCTGCCCCCCAAAAAGCTTTTGTTTATGTGGATTATGTCTATAGTTGCTTTATTAGAAATTTAAGTGTCTTAGTATTAGGAAAATAGTATTGACTTCACAGAACCCCTGAAAGAGAGTCAAGGACTCCAAGAGTTCCCCAGGCCATATTATGAATTAGGTAGTGAAAGAATTTTTCCCATTTTACAGATGGAAACTGAGACTTAGACATTTAGTCACATGAGTAAATACCCATGGTCACACAACTAGTAAGTATTAGAGTCACTATTTGAACCTAGGTCCAGTGATCTTTCCACTATACTTAGAGTCCTATAAATCGGAGGCTCTGCTGTGATCTTAATGTTGTTCATTAGCATTTAATTTTTAAGGAACAAACCACTGAATATATTGCAACACACCATTAAATGGATTTTATGAGTATCTTTCATACATATCGTGGAGAGAACTTGTTGATCTATTCAGGATTACAACTGTTACATTAAGTGATGAAAATATGAATAATCATTCAACCATCAAGTATTAAGGCCCTATTACATACTAGGCACTTTGCTAAGAGTCAAGGATTTAAAGACCAAAAAAGAAACAGCCTCTGACTTTAAAGACCTTAAATTCTATCTGAAGGAGATATATATATATATATATATAAGTAGAGACAAAAATTATATAGAAAATAAATACATGCATAAATACAAGATAATTGGGGGAGGAAAACACTAGGAATTGGGAAAACAGGAAAGGTCTTACCTAGAAGATAACAAGAGTTGAGCTGTGAAGGAACTAAATTAAGGTGGACATAAGAATGGCGTGCATTCCAGGCAGAGGGGTCAGTCCAATGCAAAGGAACAGTCATAGGAGATGGAGTTTTATGTGGGAAGAATAGCAAGGAGAACAGTTTTGCTGGAGCACAGAGTGTATGAAAAGAATAATGTATTAATGCAATAATAATAGTGTAAATATATATTTATTTACAAAATATATATTTTGTATATAATTTGTATATAAAATACATACTTATTTACAAACATAATGTAAATAATAATAATGTAAAAATAATGTAATAAAAATAGGTTGGAATCAGGGCTTTAAACACAAAACAAAAGATATTATGTTTGACCCTAGAAATAATAGGGAGCCACTGATGTTTATAAAGTGAGTGAGTGACATTATCAGGCTTTCACTTTAGGAAAATCACTTTGGTTGCAATTGAGAGGGAAGAGAATTCAGGTAGGGAGGTCAATTGACAGCCTCCTGCTAGGCAGGAAGTGATGAGGGTCTGAACTAGGGTAGTGGCCATATGAGATGATGTAGAGATAGAAACAACAAAGCTTAATAACTGATTAGAAATAGGAGGTAATAGAGAGTAAAGAGCCATGATTAACTTTGAATCTAAATTTGTCTTTTTGCAATTTCTATACATTGCTCCCAGTTTGGTCCTCTGAGACCAGATAAAGCCAATCCAATCCTTCTTTCATGAAAAAGCCTTTCATATACTCAAAGACCATTCACTGTCACGGGCCTAAGAATTTCCATACAGTTTACAAATAAACTATATAGCTTCCCATTATTTTACTGGATTTCACTTCTTTTTGATTCTCATATATTCTTACATAAGGCATAGCAGATGGAGGATTGGCCTTGAAATCAACCTGGGTTCAATCTTCTTGTGACACTATTAGCTTTGTGACCCTGAGCAAGCCTTTCAACATCTATTGGCATAAAATAAGTTCCAGGAATGTAACTAAAATAGCTTGTGATCTATGCTAGTGATAGAGGTAGTTTCCAAACTGGGAAATGTTGAAATCACAAGTCCACATTGATTTTAACATACAACTAGTTGGTTTGGCCAAGACATACACTTATAGGACCTATTATATGCCAGTTATGTACTAGGTGTAGGGGGATACAAATACAAAAAAAAAAATTTTAAAGAAAAAAATTCCTACTCCCTTCTGGAGCTTCCATTCTAATAATATTCTTTCTAAATTTGTGGTGGCCAAAACGAAATACAATTTTCCAGCATGGTCTGATTAGCAAACGGTAAAGTAGGATCAGCACTTCCCTAGTCCTAAACACTATGCCTTTTGTAATGCAATCTAAGATCTCATTAGTTGGGTTTTGTTGTTTGGGTTTTTTTGGCTACCATATATTGTTGATACTACCACATGCTACAAGCTAGTTTTTAGTCCACAGAAACCTCCAGATTGTTTTCAGAGAGACTATCATCTGGCCATGTGTCCCCCATCTTTTTTGTATTTGTATCCCCCTACACCTAGTCCCCCATCTTTTACTTGTGAAGTTGATTTTTAACCCAGTATAGAAGCAGATGAATTATAGAACTTAATCTTATTACATCAAGTTTATTAAAGCTTAGCAAAAATGTCAAGCTTTTGTAGATACCTCTGAGTTTCATCCCTTCATGCACTGGCTCACCCATTACACTTCAGCCATAGGAAATACCCTACATGTAAATTTGGCATTCCAATTATAATGATGTTGGGTCATGGACCATAAAAGCAGGGCAAGGAATTTTTACAAGAAATATAATGTGTCTCTTTTCCTTTTCTCTTGAAGGGGTGTTATTAAGGATCCCACCCAGGTGAAACAGAACTATATTACCTATCTGGATGACCTTGCTACATGCATGGGAGTAAAGCCCAACATCTTGCTCCTGTTCTTTAAGGATCCCAGGCTTGCAAAGGAAGTTTTCTTTGGTCCATGCACATCTTACCAGTACCGTTTGATGGGCCCTGGAAAATGGGATGGAGCCAGAAAGGCTATCATGACTCAGTGGGACCGGACACTCAAGCCCTTACAAACTCGAGTCATTCCTGATTATCCTGAGCCTACTTCAATATCACATTGGCTAAAGGTCTGGGGGGCACCCATTCTGTTTGTGGCTGTTTTGCTTACTTATAAATCCTCACTTCATCTGCAATTGACTAGGCTCACAGAAGTAGGGGAGAGAATTTCTACCTACCTCGCTAACACTATGAGAAAATGAATGTGATTAGATCAGTTGGACTATGATACTAACATGAAATGGTGATGCACTAGCTATCATTCCTTCCCCCAACCATCTATTGGATAAATTAATTCAAGTCAGTTATTATAATTATTAAATGCTTGCTAAGGGCCAAACACTGTGCTAAGCACTAGAGATATACAAAGAAAGGCAAAAAAAAAAGTCACTGTTTTCAAGCTCACAGTGTAATAGGAGAAACAACATGCAAACAGCTATATACAAACAAGATACAGACAGGATAGATTGGAAGTAATTAGATAGAAGGAACCAGTATTAAGGGGGATCATGAAAGTCCTCTTGTAGAAGGTAAGATTTTAGCTGGGACCTGAAGGAAGCTTAAGAACCTAGAAGCTAGAAGGAGACGAGGAAGGAAAGAGTTCCAGTTATGGGAGACAGCCGGTTAAAAATGCAGCATTAGGAGATGGAGTGTTGTGTGGGAGAAGCACAAGGAGGCCAGAAACACAATCATAGAATATGTGGAGAAGAGAAAAATGTGAAGAGGTCAGGTTAGAAAGGGCTTTAAAAGCCAAAAAAAAAAAAAAGGATTTAACATTTCATCCTAGAGGTAACCAAACCTGAAGATAATAAGATGAATTTAACAGCTGAGTGGAGAATGGACTGGAGCACGGGGAGAGACTTGAAGTAGGGAGAACTAGAAAACTATTGCAATAGTCCAGGTATAAGAGGATAAGGGTCTGCACCAGAGTGGCAGCAGTGTCAGAGAGAAGAGGGCATATAAAGGTGCTGTTACATGAGGGTAGAATCAGTAGGATTTGACAAGTGACTAGATATGGGGCAACAAAAGAAAGTGAGGCATCAAGAATAACCTATAGTTTGGAAACCTGGCTGACTGGGAAGATGTTAAAATCTTCAACAATATTAGAAAAGTTGGGGAAAGGAGAGGGTTTGAGGAGAAAGATAATGAGTTCAGTTTTGAACATATTGAGTTTTAGATGTCTATGGGACATCCAGTTTCTAACCCTTTTATTTGTCTCATCACTTCAGTACTATATGAACAGCCGATTAACACCCAATTCTGGGGGAAAATATTAATATAATACAAAATTAGATAGCCACTGACTCTGAAAATCTAGAGAGAATATAAGAATATTTCCTACTGTTGAGCCTGAGAATACCTGACAGCTTAAAAAAGCAACTGTCTTGGACTTTTCCCTCTTGGCCCAACTACCAAGAACTGTATTTTCCTCTCATGGGTTCACTGTCTAGACCTTATTTAATTCTAACCAGTAAGTTAACCAAAGTGTCTTACCTACCTTCAACTCAACTCAATAAGCATTTATTAAAAATGCTCACTCTATGCAGTAGACTGTACTAGTGCTGAGGATATGAAGATAAATACAGAATACTTGCCATCTCAAAGGAGCTTATATTCTGCTGAGGGGAGAGGATATGATATGTTGATGCTAGGGATATAGAGAGAAGTAAATGCAAAGCAATTGTTTTGGTGAGGAAAGACCACTAACAACTGGTGAAATTTGAAAGTCTTCATGTACAATATGGTGGATCCCTGAAAGAAGCTAGGAATGTCAAGAGGCAAAGGTGAGAGACACAGCATTCCAGGCATGAAGGCAGTCTGTGCAAAGCTATAAAGTTAGGAAATAGAATGATGCATATAGAGAAGCACAAGTAGGTCATTTTGGTGGGGAAATGGAATGCATAATTGGAAGCAAGGAATCTGAGTCCCTGGGTTAAGTTTAAGCTCCAAATCTGAGTCATTTTTTATTCCTCCTTCCTTCATCCTCCTCATCCTATCAGTTTTCTAGTCCTATCAAGTGTTTTTTCCTCTTCACTTCTTCCCATCTATCCCTTCTTTTACATTCCTTTCACCATCACTGTAATTCAGGCCCCTCTTAACTCGTGCCTGAACTATTCCAAATATTGAACTGGCTTTCCAGACTTCAAATTCACTCCAATCATCCTACAAACTACTTCTAGATTAATGTTCCTAAAGTATAGATTTGATCCTTTCATTCTCCTACTTAAAATCTTCAGTGGCTCCCTAATACCTAACAAAAAAAATTTACTATTGCTAAAGGCTCTATAGAACTGGTGTTATTATACCTTTCCAATTTCACTACTTGCTACAAGTATCCCACAATATTACCAATCTTGTCTACACTAATTTTCCTTAAAACAAACTGGTTTATAGACTTACAAAGAGGAAACCTTAGGAATCACAACCCTTTTATTTTATAGTTGAGGAAATGGAGGCCTCTGGAGGTTAAGTGACTTGCCTAAGGTCAAAAGGATAGTTAGTGGCAGAGTTAGGATCAGAGCTTGGTTCTTCTAGTTTCAAATCTAAGCCTTACCACTATGCCTTAGTCCTTTTCCTTTGCCTTTGCCATTCTTTACACTTTGAAAGCCCTTCCTCTAGCCTCATCCCTATTCATCTCCAACTAAATTCTACCCTTCTTCATTCAAAGTCCATAGGGCAACAAGGCATAGAGGAAAGATCACTGGATTTAGCATGAGGGTCTGAGTCCTAGCTATGCTATTTCCTAGCTGTAACATTGAGGAAATCACAAACCTTTGGGTACTTCAGTTTCTTCATCAGTAAAATTAGAGGGTTAGATTACATGATCTTTAAGGTCCTACTTTAAACTCTATGGCTCCGTCCAGGAAGGATCCTTTCATCCTCTGGTCTCTTAAAATATTTAAATTGCCCCACCTATTTAGCACATGGTTTATTTACTCTAACTTTTATTACTTATATATTTTCCCTGTTAGAAAGACTCCTGAAGAGTAGGGATTTTGTCTTTAGAAACTCTGTATCTAGGGCAGTGCCTGGAACATAGTAGCCATTAAATAAATATTTATTCAATAATGATTACCTATAGGTGTTCATCAGCTTGCAAATGAACATATTTGTCTTTTCTGTTATTACATAACTCACTGACACTATCCCCTTGGCCTTGAGTCTACTATTGGACCAACCACTGAAAAAAATGTTGCCAGAGCCAACCTTACATATAAGCAAAGTAAGAATTGTGATTTACAAGTTGGAGCAGGGGTCACCAGAAGGCCTCCCTGCCTCCAACATTGGCTTAATGGGTTTGAATCTTAGCTCTGCTACTTTTACTACATGTAGAACCTTCACATAACTTCCCTAGGCCTCAGTTTTTTTCATCTATAAAATGAGAAGGTTGAACTAGATCGTTTTTAAATTCTCTCCCAGTTTTAAATCATAATTATCCCCAGCAGACTGCTTCAGTATCTGAAATTTCATGATCAGTGATTCATGGTTTTTGGTTTTATGTTTGGTTTTTTTTTTAATTAAGGACTTGACAAATCTAGAGATTTTTGAAATCTTGGACTAGATGATCTCCATGGTCCATTCCAAGAATCTACCCTCTCATAACAGTCTGGGTATTCAGTTTCTTGTCTTTAGAAGGTCAATGACTGGAATTTTTTTGAATCCGTTATCACATTCATCTGTAATGCAGGCTAAAACTTTATTTTGGCCAATGAGAAATAATAACTTAGAAATAACAACTCATATTTCTATTGAGCTTTAAGACTTACCAAGTCCATTGCCCACAACAACCCTGAGAGGTAGAGAGTGTAAGTTCTATTACATCCATGTTACAGATGAGGAAATTTGCTCAGGTTCACATGAAATTTCTAAAGAGCAGAGCTTCGATTCCCAAATACTGTTACTTCTTAATAAGGTAATTTTTCTTCTTATGTGTTAATAACATGATAAACCATTTGATTTAACTCTTTACCTTTGGTATTTGTTTTCATAGGAGGATCAGCTGATCCCAACTTTATTATTTGCTATCACTCAATCAACAAGTATGTCTTAAATGCCTGCTATGGCTAAGCACTGTTCTAGGTGCTGGGGACAGAAAGACCAAAATGAAAAAGTTTCTTCCATTATGGAGCTTACCTGTGTGGCTTTAGACAAACTTAACCTCCGGAGCCTTAGTTTCTTCATCTGCAAAATGACGTGGTTGGGCTAGAAGGCTTCTAAGGTCTCTATATTTTAAAATACTGCATCTGTGGTTCTATCGTGCTATGAACCGTTTACAATTCATGGAGGATATGTTTTAGGTAACTGCTCCCTCTGGTGGCCTCACTCAGAACTACCGCCTAACCATACATAGATCTCATACAATGGTATTATTGACTGAACTTTGGAGAGGGATGGAGAGGGCAAACTGAGAAAGAAATAACTACCTTCAACCAGATGCTCAGGTACCATTGGATTTTAGTATAGAATTGGAGGGGCTGGTTTCTAAAAACAATTGTAACTCAGGATAACACTTTGTAACACAGGAAAACATTTTCTACTCTGGCTATGACTGTAGAATCATGGTGTTCAAAGGGACCTCAGAAGAGATCTAGTTCAACCCCTTGATTCTAAAGATGAAGAAACTAAAATCCAGAAATGTTAAATTGCTTGCCCAAGGGCACACACACTCTAGCATGTGTCAGAGGTAGGATTTGAACCCAAGCCAATGATCAGAGCTCTTTCCACTGTATCATAGTCTAACTTTGTATGGTGCCTTAAAATTCATACATGTCCTCTTGTTCTCCTTACAAAAAGCTTGGGCGGTAGACATGACCAATAGTTTTACTTTCTTTGGTATCTTCATTTTGCAGGAAAAGATACCGTAGATCAGAAATGTCCATTGATATACTTAAGGTTACACACAAATAGTAGGTGGGAGAGTCAGGACTCAACTTTAAAAATCATAAGACCGTTGATCTATAAAGACCTCACCTACTCCAATCTCCTCATTTTACAGATGAGGAAAGTGAATTGCCTGGTGTCACATTGGAAGTAGGTATTCGAGTTAAGATTTGAACCCAGGTCCTTTGATTTAAGGGCCAGTACTCTTTACACTATACCATTGTTGGTTCTTTTTGTTTATTTGTCTGTTATACCTTTTTGTGTGGGGGCAGCCAGGTGGAGCTATAGTGCATAGAGCATGGACCTAGAGTCAGGAAGACTCAACTTCACAAATTCAAATCTGGCCTCAAAACACTTGCTAGTTGCATGACCCTGAGTAAGTCACTTGACCCCATTTGCCTCAGTTTCCTCATCTGTAAAATGAGCTGGAGAAGGAAATGGCAAACTACTCCAGCATCTTTGCCAAGAAAACCCCAAAGAGGGTCACAAAAAGTCAGATACAACTGAAAAACAACTGAACAACAGCAACAAAAATCTCTTAGGTATAATATAACCAGAATTTAAAGTTTAGATATCAACCAGAAAGTAGAGCTCATCTTCTCAGATGATAAGCAACAGTAAATGAATGTTCATTTAATATTGGCACAGAACAATGTGTTTAGATATACTTCCTAAACCTACTTTCAGAGACAAGTAAGATCTACATGATTGGTTTTAATTCACTGATGTTTTGGTCATTTTGAGTTCTTCCTGGTATCCATTTTCCAGAGAATTCAAATAAAGATTTTGACCAACAGATTTTAACTGATACTTTCAATCAGGTCTATGGCCAGAACAGCTGGGGCCTAGAAACCACCAGGATTCAGTGGGGAGGGTGCAAAGACAGAAACCGGCATCCAACAAAATGTGTGAATAGACAGCTATATTAAATTGCGGGTAGACTACCTTGAAAAAATAACTGTGAAAGTGAATATGTGTTACTACATCATTTAAAATGGGGTGAATTATTGTATTAGCATGTGAATATAATAAAGTATATAATCATCTATTCAGAATGAACTTCACGAAGCATGCTGAATGCCATGCTACGATGTCAGGACATGAGTGCTCACAATAATTATTAAGGTATAAGAGTCTGAGTGCTTCACAAACAATAATATTAATAATAAAACTACCAACAGAAATTAAATGGAAAGAAAATATTGTTTTGATTTGTTTTTCAGTCAGTAAATACATCTCTAAGATAAAAGACTTCCATGTGTATTCATTTTATCACTAATTCCCTAATTTCTGCTGTTGTATCTATTTTTATGTTTTAATTTATTTTTAACATTCTTGTTTTTTTAATTTCGAGTTCCAGATTCTCTCCTTCAGTCCCATCCATTCCTCACCCACTGAGAAGGCAAGCAATATGATATCAATTATACATGTGAAAAACATATTTCTATATTAGCCGTGTTGTAAAAAAAAGAAAAAGCAAGCAAAATAAGGTTTAAAAAAGTATGTTTCCGTCTATACTCAGAGTTCATCAACTCTCCCTGGAGGTGGACAGCATCTTTTGTCATGGATCCATTAGAATTACATTGGATCATTGTCTTCATCAGAGTAGCGAAGTCTTTCACAGTCAATCATTGTTACAATAATGTTATTGTATACAGCATTCTCTTACTTCTGCTCACTTCACTTTATATCAGTTCACTTAAGTCTTCCTAGGTTTTTCTGAAACCACCCTGCTTGTCATTTTTTATACTGCAATAGTATCCACACAATCATATAATACAAATTGCTCAGCCATTCCTCAGTTGACAGGCAGTCCCTCAATTTCCACTTCTTTGCAACCACAAAAAGAGTTGCCATAAATATTTTTGTACATTTCAGTCCTTTTTGCTTTTCTCTGAGCTACAGACCTGGTAATTGTATTGTGTCTAGTTTTGGAAGCATTAATGCAAAACCAGAGCGTGGATTTGAATAAAATGGACTTGAAAGTCCATTTGAACTCTGAAATTATGTGATTCTCTGTGTTTAAAGAGAAATTGAATTTGTTGAATTTATGTGGAAATTCAGTGATGGTGAAGCACAAGTGTTCGCCTTAATATTTTTAATGAACAACGAAAATATGCAACCCTCCTGTACAAAGGAGCAATAATTTTGGACTATTCTCTTTGAGTTGGTTTTCTAATCATGCTGGAGGAATATGTACTGTTTCATTCAACCTCTCCTACTGGCTCTCAATCCAAAATATATTTATGAGATAACAATCTAGGTTCAAGGATGCAGTCTGTGGGGAATGAGATAATGGGATTGGATTGAACTGAAAGAATCTGGCTTTGGAGTCAAAAAACCTGGGTTTAAATCTTGGTTCTGCTACTCACTACTTGTGTGACTTTGGGAAAGTCATTCATTTCCTCTGAGTTCAGTGTCCTTATATGTAAAATCATGGAGTTGTGAGAGCTATTCCTCAAAATCATTTCATGTTTAAAACTATGAGTTCAATGACCGTTCCATAGATCCAGAGATGAGTGTTCCATCCCACTGAGCTAACAAGACACAAGATAAATGACTTTAGACTCTTCCCTATGAATTCAGTTCTTTTCCATTGAATTATATTACCTAGTTCAATCATCCATTCTAGAGCCAACATGCATTAATTACACTATTTTGTTGATGTGAATATGGAAAATTCTGTCTGGAGAATAAATCCTATGTAGTACTTGTTTCTACAAGTTCCTGTTCATTTAAAGGTCAACCAATTTATTGTTGATATTGTTCTTTTGGTGACATGTTCATGGGCAGAATAGTCCATTCTTCCACTAATGTCTTCCACTGATGTCTTCTCATGGAAAGAAAGTGACCATGGGCTCTTGAAGACTATACCAGTAGAGTATAAGCTATGGCAAATTCTGCCATATTAGAAAGGCATTAACTGACTACCTGGTGTCTGAAAACCAACTTAACTGAAAAACAAAAAGCCTCGTCACCAAGAGACTTTGTCACCAGATGATCAGTTATTTGGATCTAATGATGCGTCAACCCCCAAATCATAGCCCTGGTGATGATGTTTGGTGTTTACTTTAATGAGAACTTCACAACTTCCTTCTTAATGATACAGCATGGTACATGTGAGGCAGCTAGGTGGAGAGGTGGATAGAGTGCTGGGCCTCAAAGTCAGGGAGACTTGTCTTCCTCAGTTCAAATCTAGCCTCAGACATTTACTAGCTGGGTGACCCTGGCCGGCTCATTTAATCCTCTTTGCCTCAGTTCCTCATCTGTAAAATGAGCTGGTGAAGGAAATGGCAAACTACTCCAGTACCTTTGCCAAAAACACCCCAAATGGGGTCACAAAAAGTTGGACATGACTGAAACAACTGAACAATGGGACATGTTTCTGAGTAGCCTACCAGCCCTTTGATATCTTTCATTTCTTCTCCATTACTTCTATCCCCTGTGCCCAGCTTTGCTTTAAAGTCACCAAGTGCAAAAGATCTATGTATAAATTTGGTATCTCTCCTTCCTTTTCTATAAGGTATGTTGGCAAATGAATTCCAGTTATCTTTGTGGTCTTCTTCTTGTTTATATTCATCATGTCCAAGTGTCCCATAAAATCATATTTTTCATTGCCTTTGGACCCATGAGGAAACCAAATCCACCATCCACCAATACCTTTATTAGTTTTTCATGGGGAACCTGTAAACCATCCTTCCATTTATCTACAAATATTTAATTTGGAGCAAGAATATCAACATTACTGTGGCCTAGTTCCTCCTACAGAATGCCAATTCACTGTTTGTTGGACAAAAATCTCTCTTTTTATAGTTCAATTTATGCTTATAAATAATCAAAAGACTGTGACCCTATCTCCTTTTTTACTATTTTACCACCATCACTACAGAAGCAGAAGCACCACTAGAGAACTGCGAGGCAATTTGTATTTTTCTTTGTTTCTTAGATTTCCATGGCCATAATTCTGATCACCTTGTGCTCAAACAGGTGATGAGCCTATCTATAATTGGTTAGGCTTGTTCCCAGGCAGAAGGCAGTGTGGTAAAATAGAGAGTTCATGGAATTTGGAGTGGAAAAACAAGGGTT